AGGTTAGGCTAATTTTTCATAGAAAAAGAGGAAGCCTAAAATGTTCGGATTCAAACATGTGATTGAGAGAGGAATCAGAAAAATTCTCACTTTCGTGATACGTTAAATTGCATCTAAAATTTTTGTAATTTCAAAAATGCTCAATGCAAGTTTCCCTAGGATGACCGAACCGGAACAAATTTTACAAGCCGCTTGGAATGCATTTCTAGAGATCTAAAAGTACTCTGGGTACACCATTGAAAAATGTTTTCAATGAATTTAGAAGGAAACCGTCGTTGGGTGGCTCAGAAATTTTTTTAGGCCCTTGGCCCTTCGTTAAATCGAGGTTCCACTGTAGTCTCTTGTTTTCATCACGCTCGTTTTAAAATACGATTATGAATTCCTTACTTGTATTCTTAGGAAAAAGCGCTAAGTCGTAGTCTAAAATGTCATCCGTTCCTTCCCTCCACCCCTAAGGGGCCACAGCAGGTTTCGGGGTGGGGCGAAGGCACGCATAACATTTCAGACTAGACATGGCAGAACTCCTGGCGGGGCTAAAAACCTGCATAACTTTAGAGCACCTCTTGTGTTTAAATTTCCTGTAGTTCTGGCAAACTCGAACAAGTTTTTCATTTCTGAGGAACGTTTTGCCAAAATATAGGTTATGGCACATGTCAAGCCAGAAAAAGTGAGCAGTTTGATAGAAAATGTCAAGTACGACTGAACAACGCCCTTAAAAGCGCCCCTAATGACTCGGGCGGGAGGGGGAGGCTGGGTGGGGAGGGGAAACTCTGAAATTGAGCAAAGAGGACCTAGCTCTAAGCACACCGCCTGCTTTTTAGTTGTCCGTTTCCCTTGGCAATAAATTTTACTCACAGTGTCGAGCAACTCTTTAAAGGAGATTGCAAGCCCGTATATTTGGGCCCGTCAGGAACGCTCAGCGGTGAAACCAAAGATCGCGCCCTCAAAAAACTTATTTTAACTTACTGAAAGCTGTTTTTTCTTGACCTATTTAACTTATCGTTAGGAAAGAAGAAAAGGAATCTCATAATTAGCGTGGACTGGAAATAACTCGCTATCAATTATCCGAAGATATCCGAATATCTCACTTTTCAAGCCCACCTTAATTCGCTTCATTTTTGAGGGGAGCCAACATTAGCCGCGCGACTGTTATTTTTTTGCGCCTGGGTATCTCACGTTATGCTTAAGCGTATCCGCAAGTGTGTCTTACATCCTACGCTTACGTAAAGGTTATATACCTGGAACGATGGGGTATGTGATATATTCACCTGGTACCGCCCCGAGGGCTACGTGTGTAAGACTGTTCCTTTTCAGATTTTCAATAGCAATGCAAAAAACAATAGCTTTCAGTTCGTGCAAACGGCCTTTCCTTCTCTTTTATTTTCTTTTCCTTTTTTTCTCAAAAAAAACGCAGTTTTTTTTCAAGGTGCGAGGGGCGCGATCATTGGTTTCACCGCTCCAGCGTTCTGAGACGGACGCAACTATACGGCTTGCAATCTTCTTTAAAGAGTTGCTAAAAAATATGAGCGAAATTTATCTCCAAGGCAGACTCACAGCTAAAGCGCAGACGGTATGGTTGGACCTAGGTCCTCCTCGCTCCATTTCAAAATTCCCCCCCCCCTCCCCCTGCCAGAATCATTAAGGGCGCTTATACGGGCGCGGTTCAGTCGAACTTGACATTTTCTATCAAACTGCTCACTTTTTTCTGGCTTGACATAAGCCTATATTTTTCCCAAACGTTGCTCAGAAATGCAAAACTTGCTCGAGGTTGCCAGAACTACTGAAAGCTTTGCTTTTAACACCAGAGGTGCTCTAAAATTATGCAGGTTTTCTAGCCCCGCTATCAGTCTGAAATGTTCTGCGTTTCTTCGCCCCACCCCGAAACGGGCTGCCGCCCCTTAGGGGGTGGAGGGAAGGGACGGATGACATTTAAGACTAGGAATAAGCACTTTTTTCCCCCTAAATGTCATTTTTCTAAGGATACAAGAAAGGAATTCATAATCGTATTTCAAAATGTGTAAGCAGGCGTTTATGGAAAGTAAGAGAATATAAGGGGCAATCACTTCATACTCTGTTGCGGAAAATATGTTTTTTTAGTCTTACGTTTTCATAATCGCTCTAGCGGATAAGTCAGTGAAAGTAAGGATTTTGATTATTTACATGTTTTGCTTTTATAGTTACAGAAGGTGCCGCGTGAGTGTCTTTTTCGGAATGGTATCTGTCTTCAACCTGGGTCTCAAAGTTCTTTGTCACGCAATCTCATTTCGTTAAAGGCAGTAAAGGATTCGGTTCTGTTATCAAATAATGTGAGGTAGGAAAAACGTTTTCCTTTTTATAGCTATAACGATTTGGTTCATGATAAATGAGAGCATTTTAAAGAATAGCTACCGACACTAAAGCCGTTTTGTAGATATATGATAACTGTTACAAATACGGCAAAAGTAAACAAATACGCACGTAACGGATGTGTTGTAGTCAAGAAGTTCATAGCACACTTTCGTACAATAAAATTGCTTTTCCTTGTGAAAATTTACCACTGTGAAAGCTAAAATCGTTCTTGGTGTTTAAACTGGCGGAAAAGGGGCGAATTTGCGCCAGAGTTTCAAGTGCTGTCTAAAAGTTCTCCCTTGTATTCATCACGACAACTGCAAGTTCAAAGGTCGTAAATCACGCGAGTACCGTAAATGTTTTCCGTTGTAACAACTCGCAGTTTCAATTGCCCCAGAATTTTATTTCACAGATTGATAGGGGAAACATTGCTCTTTCTCTGGAATCCATTTTTCTAATGAAAGCCATGTACCAGGAAGGGATTTTCGCCGTTGAAAAATGGCAAAATTGATGGTCGCGTAAATGCTGATTTAGAGGGTAATTTTGAAAAAATATTAAAAAATCAGATTGAAATCTTTTGAAATTGTAACAACGTTTACGTAGAAAGGAAGGATCATAAAATTGTTTAATGTAAGAAAAGTTATGGTATTAGTTTCCGTTTCCATTCACGAAGCGAGGGTATCAAGCACATTTTTCGGTGGTTTGAAGGCCTCTCGAAGGTGAAAATTAAAAAAAATTATTATTTTGGAAAATATTGAGTCAAACGAACTGAGTCTTGTATTTTCTAAAATAGTTTCCAAAGGGCTTTGTTGGGACAAAGTTTGGGGGATTTCGATTTTTCCATCTTGCACACCTATCCGTGGTATTTACAGAAACTCGCTCTTAAGCAAACCGCTGACTGCACAGCGCTGCAGTCACAGATTGATTGAACCATCGAACCATGGAACCATTGAACGAAAAATCTCAAATCGCTCAAGAATATGGTCTGCTGCCGGCTGATGCCCGGCAGCAAAATTTTACGCCTCGGTGATCCAAAACAATACTGACTAACTGTAGTTATACCCAAGCAGGGTTCGTTGGTTAGTCTTAAGTTTACAAACAAACAACCAATCAGAATGTGACACTTCTTTTCGCACATGCTAGATGAGCGTATATAAATACGCAAAATAAAAACCAAGCGTGAAGCGAGGGGGAAACCAAAAACAACAACCAAAAATTTACATAGGCTAATTAGACCAAACTGTTGTTAACTGCGTGGTGTGACCGCCATGTCGACCGCAAGCAATAACTACAGTTAGGTATGACATCACGTAAGTTGACACTAACTTAAGTTAAACTATAGTTACGTCGTAGATCTGACCGCAGCCATTAACTGCGCGCAGCGCTATTACCATGATTGGCTCTAATTGAAAAGACGTTCATTGGTTGTCTCTTGTTCTCGGTGCACTCGAATTCACTTCTTTTGTTATCCGCATTGAATAATAAGAGCTCTATCTACTTAGAACCAGCCACTATGACAGTGAAGATCACTAAATTGTCATGTAGTTATATGCATGCTTATTTTTCAACGTATTTTCCACGATAATAAAATTAAGCATCAACGACTCTTCCCTTCCCCCCATATCACAAAAAAATGACGCACGTTGAGCCAGTCGATTAACCTGTCAACAGATTATACCGTCAATGATTACCAAAAAATAGAACATGAATAAGTGTGACGATCAAGTTCACGTAACAATTCTTTCCCACGCTAATACGATTACCGACTGCTCTCCTTCACACTTTCTTTAGAAGGATATTTGAATCTAACAGATACTGCCAATCACTTGTCGAAATGTAAAATGATAACAAATGTTTTATGTAGCCATTGTAATATTACTAAAATAAAAAAAAAAATGAAGAAATGAAAAAATAACACTTGAAACGTGCCACATGCACATAGTGGTTCTTTGTATACCATTCCTGATCGAATCGGAATTTGGAAATGTTGGTTGTTGAGGAGAAAGGAAAATACATGTAGGAGTAACCGGGGAAACTTTTAAAGCAAGGCCGGGCGAGAACCAACAACAGACTCATTTCACATATGGCGTCCGGCAACTCCGGGATACCAACCTGGGGCCACGTGGCGAGCGAGTGCTTTCACTATTATACCTCCCTTGTCTCCCGCAATGCTTAACAAGACGCCAAAGAAAAATGTCATCATTTTTTCAAATAAAGCTTTATTCTCTTGCCACCTTCTTTTATTATTTTCCACTAATTGATATAGCTTTCTCTCGTTTGTAATTACATGTATTGTTCAAATGGATAAACGTACATTTATTGAGTTATTGTTATTAAATTACGAGCTAAACGACTGTAAATATTACATATTAAAATTGTTGGGTTTTATTGACTTTAGAATTGTTAAAGTTTAAATCCCTCGATTAATTTGCGGTATAGCATACACTATATTTTTCATTGCGCTGACCTTAGTTCGGTCATGCGAAAGGGCGATATTTGCCATCTGGAATTCATTCGTGCCTACATTATATATATATAAAAAACCTCACCACAAGATTTGAGATTGTTACATTTAATCTGAATCATTCAAAAATGTTCTCAGACACAAGAAACTGGAATGAATCAATGTATTTATGTCCATGACGCCTCAAAACATTCATGGTACTTTGGCCTTAATTTATGTCCGAATCGTCTCTGTTGCAGTTGCACACCGTTCTGTTGACGCCAAACGACAACGACGTAGACAAAGAGTAATTCCAGTTTTCAGAGTTGTCGTCTTTCCAAGAAATAGATGACAAAGATCTGGCGTCGTACTCGTTTTCCCAGACAAATTCTTCGAGTACTGACTTTGAATATTCCATCGCTTCCTTGAAATCTGACAATAGAAGATCCTCTTCAGTTGGAGGAAATTTGTACCGCGATTCTTTGATGGAATAATGTCCTTCAAAGCCGGCTCCTTTATCTACCCACTGATTGTCAGCACCGTGATCAGGTAAATCGTCACAGGAAAAAAGGCTCTCAGTCTCGGCAAGCATGGCCCTAGTCTCCTGCTTACACCCGCCTTCATGGCCATCGCAGTTTCGCCCTTGAACGGACTGGATGGGAAAACCGTCGTCTTGGTTCAAACTTTCAGAGCACAAAAGTGGGTCAGTTTCAAAATCTCTCGTAATATCTGTGTTGCTTCCTCTGATCTGATCTTTCGCAGTTCCTAATTTCAAAAAGTTTTTACGTATCGATTTCACGAAAAACTTCTTAGATTTCCGACCACACCGTTTTAACCCATCTTTTAGGCGATTTTTAATGAAATCACCAAGCTCCTCCCCGGGATTTCTCCCGTGGCTGGCTTGATGGTATGCCTCATCCAAGATGGCAATGAACGTATCCGTGAAGACAATAGTCAAGGCAAGCATGCAGGCCATACGATATAGGGGAACAAACATTTGGGACGAGGGTCCACTACTTAGCTTTGAACGCATTTTTCCTATTCCAATGGCCATTTGAAAAACCGACCTAAGAGAGAAATAGAGAGTGGAATATTCCTCATCCATTGTACCAAACAAGAGTGTTCCAAGCTGGGCGAATGCAAGAGCGAGGAGAATAACTATAAAGGAGAAAGAACAAATGTAGCTCCACGCTGCCTCTAACGTTGACTTCATTATGTGAATATGACGGTTTATCTGAATAAGCTTAAGGCTCTTAACTGTGGTCAACACAACTGTGATTGACAAAACAACGTTTTCAAAAGTCTCCCACTTAACGAGTTCGTATGAAGTCCAGTAGCCAAATGGATCCTCCTTTATTTTTTGAAGAAAATCTCTCAAATCGTTTTCCTTCAAAAAGACAAGCAACATTGCAGTAGCAGAAGAAAGGAGTTGAAAAGAAGAGATCCAGTTAAAGAAAGCCTTAAAATACGAACTTCGCTGCTTGAAAACCTTAACAATTTCAAGAACCACCAGCACTACAGTGAGTACTGACCATAACAGAATGCAAATGTGATAGAACAACCGCAATGCAGAATCAGATGAAGGAAAAATGTGAACAGGAACCACGACCACCGTCTTTTTTGTAAAACCCGTCGAGAATCTCTCTAATACAATCATAACGTTTGTCAGCAGCAGGTTCGCAGGTTCGAAAATAACACATTCCGCCAATATTACAGCTGTTCTGTCGTCTATCCAGTTGAATTCTTCAAGGCTCTGTTTGACTCTCAAAGCGGTTTCATTATCGTAACCGATCTTGGCTATGTAACCACCAGCGCCGTAAGGAATAAGTTCACTAGCACTCTCGGGCATCGTATATTGCCAAGGTTCAGGACAAAATGAATAGGATTCTTTTGAATTTTGATCATGGGTCGAATCCATGGGCTTCCACAAGGGTTTGTATGATGGGGCGGTGTCCTTATTTGATCCAGATACGTCGGCAAGACATCGGTTGAAATAAGGTCGAAATAAGGGTTCTACGTGAAATAATTCACAGGTAGATTCTGTCAATTAGAAAATAAATTTAAAAATGTATTAAGTGGTATCTCAAGACATGTTTTGGCAGAATTCTTTTGGTCGTTACCTGAATTTTAAACAAACAAACAAACAAAAAGCAAAACGGTTTGACAATTGATTACCCCACTGTTCTCGTTTAGTTTTCAAGCCGATACCAGGTTCTTTAAACAACCGAATAACTTTTCTATATCACTAAGCTTATAACGCACCTAAGATCATACTATAGGACGTTAGGAAAACCACCTACCTTGTTTTATTCGTATTTGTCGAAGCCTTGGCATGCCAACTGTATATCCGATCTTGCCTCTTAGGAGTTCATCATCAAAGTGAGCAGCTGGGTGTCCATTGTACAAACGTGCGTCATAGAGACCTGGAACTAATTCGTTTTCAAACCATTTCCAAAATGATTTGGGATCTTCCACCTAGAAGTCATGAATATAGCTGCAGTTTAGTGGACTGGGAAAGGGACATGGGATATTTGAGAACAAAGCGATATTCGTATGACCTTGAAAAATGGTTTCGGTAAGTGGTCGTTATTTGTTTTATCAGTCAATGGATGAAAAGATCAAAACATGGACTCTTCGTTTTCCCGCTAAAGAAAACCCTAATATGGAAGAGGGAAGTAAGTAAGCGAAGTATCCATTGCTTTTTAGACAGTTCTTCGGGCAGGAACTTTTTTCAGCCTAGCGTTCGCTTAACCAACCAAAAGCCACGCGCGTTTGTATCCGTTCGACAAACCAATCAAATCGCTGTATTTCCGTTCGTTTGTTGTTTCTGTTTTGTTTGCGCGTTTTCATTTCAAGGTCATACGAAAATCGCTCTACTGTTATTCTTGTTAATGTTTGGATCAAAAGCGCTGTATACTTCCAAAACGAGTTCTTCAGTATATGCGGAAGTAATAAAGATACCTTTTATTGAGATACCTTTTATTTACAGTGAAACCCGGTCAATCTTTCCGAGGAAGAACAAAAATTGAACATGATTGTTTCAATACTGGATTCATTATTGGTTTTAATTTTGCGTTGTTCAGTTGAAGTATTTGAAGAAATCAAAACAATCTTCGATTTAAGAATTGAATTCTGATTGAATTGGCGCATCCATCTTCTAAGCGAGAAAATTCGAGAAGTCAGTCTAATTGAAACAATTTGGAAGAAAAAGAAACATCTGTTGGTAAGAGTTAACGAACCAAGCAAACCTCCTCATACCTTGACCTTATACAGTCGTGCTCCATTAAGCGTGACCGGCTTTCCAAACAAGTCAGAAAAAAGTGCGTCTGACACTTAAATGAAATATTGAATATCTCTCTTAAAATCGCTTTTTAAGCCATGACTTCGTCATATACAGAAAGAAAACTTCTATTGTTCAGATATGTAAAAATTCGCTGAGAATGATATTTTGTGGTAAATCTGGAATTTTCCCGCTTACTGCTGTGTAAGTGAACTATGAGTGAACTCAATATTCAAGAATTCAACTTTAAATGTCGTTCTACGTACTGAAGAACTCTTGGCCGATTTGACTCTGAGGTAACTGATACAAGATGGTGGCTGTTCTGAGGACTGTACAGCAAGGTCAGATAGGTTAAGGTGACTCCTAAAGAATGCACCTACACTTTAATGAATCTAAATTTTTACTCCAGGTTGTTGGAAATGGTCATAATTTAGTATAGTCGTATTCTGTGTTTTGTTTTAAAGTTTTGTTCACGACCCTAAGCTACGGGCTTTTGCAAAGTTTAATGGGGTCATTGGTTAAGCGATAAGAGCCATTTCAAATAGAGTTGATTCGTCAAAGTGTAAGTGCTGAAAACAGTTGGGGAACATCTCTGGTTTCCCTGTACCTTGCTAAAATTGCTGAAAGTATCTTTGAGTGATTTTGTCAGTCGAAATCTTGACGGCTTGCGGTTTCCATAACAGACAGTCATTAAGAGAACGATAAACGCGGTGTAAATGCCCAGTTCAATAAAGAAACGATACATTTTTCTTTGGTGTAGCCTCAAATGTCGCATTTTTTGCAGCTCTTCATCAGACGGCTGCCGGATATTTACGTCTCCACTTCCGTGAAACACCAAGTTTCCCCTGCGCGAAACCTCAACCTCGCTAGTAGTGCCAGTCTGCTTTATCTTTAACAGGGATGTGATTGCGGTATTAACAATAATAATGATCGGTCCATTGATCAAGATATCTTGAAGTACCGTTATACAGACAGATAATAACCATCTATTGGACACTTCCGCTCCCCACTGGATGCTGTAAAACACGGTGAATGTTCCTGAGGAAATGGAGGTTGTCAGGCAGATCATCCATCCAATTACGACAAAGCACGGCGGTAGGAAGCCTTGCCTGGATTTCCTTGTTGCTGTATCGAAATTGTCACTTGGTATTGTTTTCTTAATGTTCCGAAATATAAATACCGTCCCTATGCTTACAGGAAGAGCGATAAGCCCACATTGCACACCAATGACGATTTGCCTCAAGCTCATTTCCAAAGGGCCAATTTGAAATGAATTAGATAGATCGTCTGAATCCCTAGACTTTTCCAAGCGATAAAACATGGCATTGGTTACTAGAGAAATCATTACGATTGAAAACAGGCATGTTAGACGTTGACATCGTGTAAAAGAATTTTGCGGTGGTCTGGTGAAAAGGGAGAGAAATAAATGTTTGTCTGCAAAGTTTGTGACAACGCGCCTGTGAAACAATCTTGTGAAACTTTCCATTTGTCGATTTGTGGCGGCCCAGACTTCCACATCAACAGCACCGTCCAACTTTTCTACAGACAGCCATCTGTTTGCTACGAAATGCCACTTTTCGTTGGTAGAGTTGTCTCTAATCACAACTTGGTACAAAAACCAGGATGGACTTTTTCCGCTATTATCGTGCCAAATCTGTATCTTGTACAGCTTTCCCATATGTGCTGGCAGGCTGAGAGTGAATGTGTTTACACTACCACGAGTGAAGAGTTTGGCTTTTTGCCAGGGATCCATGAAACATATTTTATTACTGCTACCTTCTTCGCCAAATAGTCGGATTCCCACGCGAGCTGTTGTGCCGTTAAGGTGCCACATCCCAGTTTGAATGGACACTTCATAACTGTAGCAGTTTTCTTCTTCGTCGTCGCAAGAAGACGCTATTGTGTTAATAATCTGTAAAAGAGAAAAAAAACCTCTCAAAGATAACCACTAAACCAACCTTTATAACCTGGATTCTGGAGATAGCTTACCATCTTTTTTTAGTATACCTTATAGACTTTGTAGATACTAAGAACGTTTTAGTTCACGAGATGTCTAACAATGTTTAAAGCAGAATCAAAACCACAAAACACATTTACCTTCATCTTGTCTCTGTTATCCGCTCTTCTTGCAATGATAAGACCCAAAGCGTAGACTGCAAAAGTAATGCAAACGGTAAGCAGGACAGCCAAGTTATCTGGCGGGAGGTCTTTGAACACTTTGTTGAAGTCAATATTGTTTGGGATGACGTAGAAGTTGCCAGAAAATGTAGTCAAGTGATTTGCCAAGCAGACAGCTGCTGTCTCGTTACTCTCGTTAGCGATCTGAAATTATAATAAACGAAAAGGTTACTTTGATTTATTCAGAGGAATTACATGACAAACAATCCTTTAAACCAAGTACTGGCATAAGAATCCAGCCTGCGGATAGGCCTGAGCTATCCATATTTCAGGCCTTTACCTTCTTCAAGCGTAGCCAGCATGCAGGCTTCTCATATTTCGTTTATTTTACAAGGAAAATGAAAGAGAAGGGTAACGGCGTTAGTTGTCCATGGGACGATAAATTGGCTTTACTGCACTTTGACGCGCGTCAAAGGTTAAGTCAAATATGGTATGAGCTTTGACTTCACCTTTGAGGCGCGTCAAAGATGAAGTCAAATACGTCAACGCTTTGCTATTCCTTTAACGCTTGTCAAAGGCGCTGTCAATAGCCCGTTATCAGACCCCCTATTTTCTCTTCAAAGTCCGTCGAGCGCGCGTGATAGAATATAAACCGCGGGAGATTTATTGACCGCCAGCGCAAGGGGGTAGGGGTGGGGAAGAAGAAAATAGATGGTCTGTAGACATCTTTGGGAGCAACTGAAACTTACTTTTCTCAGGAAAAGGAAATTACCATTGGCTGAACGGCGATTACCTTGTCATCATCCTGTCAGCGACTCATCACGCTCGCGTCGTGCGATTAGAAGCGTTTGTCATCAAGGTACGCGCTAACCGCGACACCTACTATTGTAACTTGCATAAAAAATAACATCGAAGCGCCGCCGAGTTGTGAGCTTGGGATGGAGTCATGCGACAAGCTTGTGTTGACCATGTTGATCATAATTGTCTTTTGTATCGGAAGGTAGACTATGAGGACTGTTTGGCAAAATTTTCAAGCAAATACGTACTCAAAGAAGAGCAGCGCCAGGCTATTTTTGGGTTTACTGGAGCAAAAGGATGTTGTGAGTGTTCTTCCTACGGGTTTTGCGAAAAGTTTAATTTAGCAGTTGTTCGCGGCAGTGAAATTCATGATCAAACGAAGAAACAAAAGAACGTGGAAATGTAGTTGCATCACCATTACGAAGTGTTATCAATGATCAAGTTGAAGCAATGAGAGAAGCTTGCATTTCAGTCACTGCATTACCTTGCCGGGGAACCATGAGGTGATGCAGACATTCTGTATTTTAAAAACGGAAAGCTATCATCGTCGTGCTCGCTTTCTTGAAAGCTAGCTTGAATAAAAAAATCTAGCTCGGGTGCTTCTAACCTGATTACTGCAATGCGAACAAACCCTTCTTGGCTAATCTTCTGTTTGCGAAACGGTAAAACCAAGATCTCTTAAATCGTCCGCCAACTTTCGTTTTGTAACACCTTGACGAATACTCTCAAAAAAAGATTCTCTGTAGCTTTACGGGAATGGGATAATTGCCCAGTTCTATTGAGGTATACAAACCACCCACTTGTCCTACAATAATCCGATGTGCCGATTTGTTGCGGCTTCGGACCTCTATTAGCCGGCTTTTCGACCTAGAAGCCGAGAACCAGGCTGAGGAGGGTCTAAGAAGACATGCTTCAACAAACACGCGACACCGAGTGCCATTGTTGTTTCATTGTAAAATACTTAAGGGAATCACACAAGCAATTTATTGCTCCAATTCCATTGGTCCAATATAATTGCTACTGCGAACGAGGAGGTGATAATGATGAGGCGTTGCAATGGGGGAGGGACTTAATAAACCTCTTTCTTGCCAAAGATGTCTACAGACGTTATTTATTTTTCTTTATCTCGCTCCGCGCTCGTTCTTGCGAGCTCGTCGATGTTTTTGAAAAGAACGAAAAGAAAAATAAAACAACTAAAGAACGTCTGTTTCTCTATTTTTCTTTTTCGCGCGCTCGCCGATGTTTTTTAAAAGAACGAAAAGAAAAATGAAACAACGTTTGTCTACAGGCTACGTTGTCAAATAGGCTGGTAACTTTGACTTCACCTTTGACGTGCGAAATGAGTTGTGTCATGGTCCCGATATTAGTCGATACGAACCCGTATTCTTGAGAAAAACGGAAGTATGGAGAGGTATCGGGTTCCGGACACGCAGCGTATACATTGAGTATCAGGACCCGTATTTTTCCTGAATCGAACTTTTTCCGCGGCATGGAATATCCGATATCCGGACACGTCATTGAAACGCGGCGTGTCAAGACCTGTAAACGTCCTTATTTTTCTAGATTTGCCGAGAGTCATGGAGTGCCGTTGATGAACGCTACAATTTTTGCCTTTCATTTTCACTAAAATTCCACGCTACGGATTGTGTTATCCTAATTTATACTCCAAACGTTCATGACACGTGAAGACTCTATTCCGTAGAATGCGATGAAATTCCACGATACATGAAGTTTCGAGTGTTTTCACTTCCCCGAAATTCCATGATACGTGAAATACCAGGGACTCAAACACCACTGGAATTCCACGGTTCATGAAATTACCGATGTTGAAATCGTGGCAAAACTCCCTGATACGCGAAAATTGCAACACGTTTATTGTACTAAATTTGACGATACTTTCAATTTCCATTCATGATATTGAAAAAAGTGATACCGCCTTTTCACTACATTGATACCTCACGATATGTTTCCTGGTCAGCATTGCACTTCATTGCATTTCAGGGACTTACTTGTGGGGTTGCAGTATTATACTGAAAATGATTTTTAACAGTTCCGACCATTCTACCATTTTTATCACCGCCCCAGTCTTATTCACTTTAACTAATTGCCCAACGCATGAGGGAAAAACACAGGTTTTAAATCGCGTAACATCATTTATTTTAAAGTTCAAATACAGGAACAAAGTTTGATAATTCTGACAGGAAAACGTGCAAAGTTGTGTCAGTTGATAAACCTACCTCTAAAAAGTGTTCGGACATGTTGACAATTCATTCACAGAAATATACAAGGTACAGTTGCAAGGTTGATTGGAATATTCAGAATGAGTGATTTCAAAACATTTCAATTTTTTCTAAAAAAAAGTTTTGCAAAAATTAAAACAGAATTCAAAGTGAAGATATTAAATTTAATCAAACAATGGCAACAACTAGAGAGTAATCCATCCATTCTCCATCCTATGTTCATCATCACTGCCACTCCTTAAAGTAAAGGAGAATGTGGGGAGGGAGGCTGCAGTGGAGGAGGATGTACTGGTGTGACAACTAGCTCCACTGCTAATCAACGACAACGGCCATGCATGTGAACTAAAGGGTGGTTGGCTTGTAGGTGGATCTCCTTAAACTCTGGGGTTTGGAAGAATTAACCAAGGAGCTGGCATCTAGCTGCTGTAGGGTCTCCTCAACCATCTGTTCGCACCTTCAACTGTTTTGCTAAAATCTGCAAAGCACAGTCATTGAACAAAGTGAGCAATAACCACAAATTAGTGCCCAAAATAGTGGTTAAGGTAGCTTATTTTTGTACACGTGTATGAACCTCTTTACTACCCATGCTTATAATAACATCATCAACCACAACTTACAATAATAATGATAATAATAATGTGATGTTAAGGATAATAAGACTTTCAAATTTCTTTCGGATTTCTGTATATAAACAGAAATGAAACTGGATCACAATCGCCTTGACATCGTGTGTGGACCAACAGAACAAAATTGCCTCATCACTAATATTGCAGGTCCTTGTGACAAAAGGGTGGACATCGAACAAGAGATCAACGACAAGACAGTATAGTCAACAAGACTAAGTATCTTCATCTGGCATGAAGATACTACTTGTGGAAGATGAAGGTGTAAAAGTTGCCCCTTTTGTTTTGGAGCACTGGGTACTATTCTGAAGACCTGGAGGTTTAACTGAAAAAACATAAATAATTCTGGGATTGAGTTGGCACTGCACTTCAAAGAACAGTCTTGCTGAGATCAGCAAGAATTCTCCAAAGTGTCCTTGAAGTTTAAGGTAGCTTGTTGCCACCCAAAAAATTCAATGGGTTTGAAATTTCTGGCATTGACATACCTGCTGTGAAGCATGCACAAAAATAAATTGGGAATTGAATGAAAAAGACAGGTGATTGTCCTCAATAACATTATTATTATCAACAGCCGAACAAAATAAGAGTACTAATAGACCTTTTTACCGATACGGTGGCCATATTGAATTAATTCAATTTAAGGAGTATTATAGGATGCCCAGGGGACATGAGCACATTTCGCTTGTATTTTGGAGCGCTTTTCTGGACATTTTTTTCTTAAAGTTTTCTTAGAATAAGATTCTAATGGGAAAAAAGATCCTTGTGCCGTTTTTGGATGTAATCATGATCACCTTTTTCCCTAGAAATATACGGTGAAAGACCATATTTCTAATGCTAAACTAGAAAAAGGTGATCATCATTACATCCAAACAGGGCACAAGGATCTTTTTTCCCATTACAATCTTATTCTAAGAAAACTTTACGAAAAGCACTCCAAAATAACAACTAAATGTGCTCATGCCCCCTGGGCATCCTATAATACTCCTTAAATCGAATTAATTCAATATGGCTGCTATATCGGTAAAAAGGTCTATTAAAAGCAGTTTACATATACACTGTAGGTAAACTATCTCCAGATCATACATACAGCTATTTCATACATTATTTTTTTAAAACGTTAATTTACACTGTAGTTCAAAATAATATTGTCTATCTTAAATGCACAAAAAATTTTAACTAAAGGTAATTTGGACAAAACCTGGAGCTGAGATACAGTGTTTTTGAAAAAGCAAAGCCGAATTAATGAAGGGTGAAAAGAAATGTAATTCTGTATTGGTATAAAATAGATTCTCAATAATTTCAAATCTATTTTGTCAATGCAGTTTTTAGAAAACAGCTTGTGTGTTTATAAATCAAGCACTACACCTACTGGAAAATGTGACTGCATGTAACGCTACAATGAAGAGGTCCCATAACAAAATACCATATTTATTTGATTAAGTGCCTTGCCTGGGTGCTCACTAAAGTTTTGCACCTTGAGAGTGGGCCATTATTCAAGTTGGTCACTTTAATACGTGTATTTGGGCTGGGTGTTTAATGAATTCTAACAGTTTTCACCAAAAGTAATTTTGTTGGAGATAGAGTAATTTTGTTTGAGTTCCAAAGCAGATTTTTAACTGTTCATTGAAAGTTTCTTTAAAATACTGTACTAAGAAAACTTGGTCTCTTAATTTAGTAGAACTTAGTCTTTATCAATCTAGCTGGTATGGGGGAGGCACTTATTCCCGGTTAGGAGATAATTCATTTTTTTTCTGCTTATAAGGTGGAGGGTTATTGGAGGTGGGTAGTTACTTGAGGTTGAGCACTTTATCAAATAAATAATAAGGTATTCTATTTTCTTTTCAGCATTTGTTGTTACATGTAATATACAAATTCTCAGTAACATTGACTTTTCTTCTATTTTCTGTTACAAACGCCTCAACCCCAGTGTCACTAACCTGCACAATATTGTATAGTTCTCCTAAGATGTTTGCCTAGTACTGAAAGGAAAATCACGAATCAATGAATTTCACTTAATTACTTTTAACTGTCACTGCTACCTTAATTACCCACTGAAATGTAAGATACTGAGTATTTACAAATTAATGTACAGGGGCTGTGCCTCCACAGTCTTAGTTCACTTTGTTAATATTAAACAATAAATGGTGTGGGATGAGGTTTTGTGATATCCAGAAATAATCAAGGGAGAGGATTGACTAAATGACATCAGCTGAGCCGAAGGCCGAGGCTGATAACACTTACTGAGACCTTGATTATTCCAAATATCACAAAAACTAATCTAATAGTTGTTTCATTATGCATTGTTTTCAAGAAAACAAGGACAAACACAGAATTGCATGGAACACAGTTTGACATTCCCCTTAGAAATCTTACTTGGTGCACACCAGGGGGTAGAAACAAACTCAGGCTTATGGCATACGATCCCTGCCAAAATTCATGGTTTAAATTTTAAATGCATCATTTAAATCTCTAACCTCAGCACTTGAATTTTATGGCTGAATTCAAGATTTTACACTCTTCCTTTAGAAGAAAACGTTTTTATGCTCGTGTCCCTTAGCTTTTAAACTCAACTCTTCTATTTGACCTTGCTCGCTGTGTATTTTCAACTCGCTTCGTCAAATTACATAGTAGAACCATGCAATTTTCAACTCGGCGCTATGAATAAAACTATACAACAATATTGCTACTTTTTATAAGCTTGAATGCCTGAACAAATACTCAGGGCATTTTACCACTTACCGAGTCATATTTCAAACTCAACCATGTGTATTTTCAACACGACTTGTGAATTTACATTCACGCTTCAGTGATCATTGATCAAGACCAGGGAGCCTCCCTGGGTCAAGACAACAGAAGCCTTTGTCGGGTGCGTGGCTCTTTAGTCCATCGTGCTTAGTGCATATTGCACAAACATGGCGGCAGAGTTTGCACTTGCTTAGATTCCTATCAGTATGGTGACAGGGTGTAAAGAAAGTCATTTTTACAGCTGAAGCTAGCATTTAATAGCCCAAACATCATTTCAACTAGCCCCAAAAATGTTTTGATGAGCAGATTGATTTGACAGTACTTCTGTAATTTGAATTCCTCAAAAAACTTCACTTGTCCATCGGGCAAGTTAATAACGGAACTCACCAGCCTGATAGCAAAATCCACTAGCCCCGGGTTATCAGACACTACTTTCTTTGCATGCTGGGTGATTATGGCAGATAAGGGGGGGGCTCCCTGGTCTTGATCAATGATTACTGTAGTGTAAACAAAATATCATAAGTTTTGTTGAAAATATGCATGGTCGAGTTTGAAATGTGACTTGGTAAGTGGAAAAATGCACCAAGTATTGGCTCAGGCATTCAAGCTTATAAAAAGTAGCAATGTAGGAAAATTTGTCCACTGTATGTATAGTTTTATTCACAGCGTTGAGTTGAAAATTCTATAGTTCTACTAAGTAACTGTAATTTGATGAAGCGAGTTGAAAATACACAGCGAGCAAGGTCAAATAGAAGAGTTGGGTTTAAAAGCTAAGGCTGAATTTAAAATTCAACTATATGGACTGAAAAACACTATCACAACTTGCAAAGCAGTCACCTTGTGTGGTAGTTCAGAGGTGAAAAGTGAACCAGCAAAGAGAATAATATTCAATAACTGAAGAAAATATATCTCATGCCTCTTTGTTTTTCTCACATATAGTATTTGTCCTTGCAAAATCGAAGCAACACTACCTGCATTACTGTGTAAATTCTTAAGCAACAACAATGAGTGCTGAACTATCGATCGAATTGATCAACTTTATAGACACATTTATTTTTCCGGGTGAAGAGAATACTATTATAATAGTAGTTGTGAGATAACAATTACTTGAGAAAGTGCCAGATTTATCAGAATTAAATCTATTCAAGAGAGCTTTATAATATGAGCTTACATTGTGTACATATTCACAATTCAGTGATAACATTTAATTTCACTTCGTTTATTGGAATCAGTAAACACCTTAATTGAAAGTCAAAATTCAAATGAGCCCAATAAACAAATTACATCCATTGCTGAAAGCTCTTTACATTAAAGCAGCCTTAACTTTCCTTAGGTTTGCAGCAAAACACTTCTCAATATCGGCGATTGTTTCAGCTATATGTTGCTATAATACATGTATTATGTTGCATAGCCTGTGAACAGTACAGGCTCTCTGTTTGGGAAAAGTTAAAAAAATCATGAAAGTGGAAGGGGAAGAGCCAGTAGAGAAACCTAGGAGGCTGCTATTTTGTGGCACCCACTGTGCATCAGATTCTGATGCAAGCTCCTATTGGTGAGAGCACTGACAGGTCTTTTGATCTTTAACATGGCTTCTTCTGGCACATCACTGATAAGCTTATTTAGCCACAAAAATACATTTCAAAAGAGCTAAAATAAAATGCTCTTGCATCAGAGGGCAAATCACTCTGACCAGAAACAATGACAACAATAACCTCAGACAATCAGTATACATGTCATGACCTCTCACTTTTAAATGAGAGGGAAAACCACAATTTTGCTCAGTCAAAGCTTACGCTCCAGCACATAATCTACCACCAGAGAAAGAACTCATTGGAACAAGCAGCATTTTGGCACCAGGTAAAAGTCAAGTTTTTACATGCAAAACTGACTACATTAATTGACAATCTTGTTGACAGAAGATCAGCAATTAATAGACATTCAAGAGGGTGGAATAGCAGCCTCAAAGGTTTGTCTTAAGGCTCTCCCCTTTCCCTTCCCTCTGCTCCCAACTTTTTTGCCCTTCCCCCAAACAAGAAAGCCTGTTCACAGGCTATATGTTGCATATTCCAAACTCTACAAAGAGAAAAAAGAAAGACCGCAACATACAATACGTCTGAAAAGCGACATAAAATCAGTAAAGTTGCAATTTACCAAAATAAACGAAATACAATAGTGAGAAACAATCCCGCCTTCAACCACCATGATTTTGTTCCTTCTCAAAACCGTTTACATTGTACCTTTGGTTTATGATGCAATGCGCAACATCAGTACACAAAACTGCTGGCAAGACCCTTGATGATTGCTTTGCAAGTTGTGAGAACATCATTTCCATTTCATTTAAGAGAATGTATGGGAAGTAACTTCCCTCCCCCACCTCCCTCCGTGCACACAACCTACAGATTAGTCACTAATAGACCTTTCCCGCATACGCTCTATTGAACAAACGCAAAGAAATGAGGATGAGGTTCGGGTGGACAATTTCATACAAAGGTCTATTTGCCAGCAGATAACTAACTAATCTGTAGGTTGAGCTTGCAATGTATGATTTCTGAGAACAAACTGTGTATACTGTCTTTGTCCTAATTTTCTTGAAAACACTGTACAGGGCTGTGAACATTTTTTTTCTCTTGAAAGGACATATGTCCCACTAAGACACCATCCTGGTTGGACTTGCAAGCAAAGTTTTAGTTGTACATAATGCCAATTACAAGTCCTTATTCTATAGGAAAATTCATTACCTGACAAGGGAATTCCATGTTAAATTGCACGCGAAAACCGATATCGCACGAATCGTGCAGTGATGAGTGCGATATCAGTTTTCAAGTGAAATTTAACGTGGAATTCACGAGTCAGGTAATGGATTTTCCTTGAATCGCATAACTGAATAAAAATCAGAAAAAAAAAGAAAACAGCAATAATATTGTTTGTTTTTATCCTGAGCGCACGCTCCAGGAAGCCATTTCAAAGTCAACTGCCAGAACTGTCTTTGCGTTAGCGAATAGGAAGCAAGGTCAGTCGTACACGTTTGACCCTTCGACAACTTTTTTTGTACCTTGTGCTTGTTTTTACATTTGTTTTCAAACTCTTTTACACGTAAACAAGCTTCACACTAATCGTAAGGATAAATAGAGGTATTTCACTGAATTTACAAGCCGTTTATCTATAACATCTTTTTTCAAATTGGTCATTTGCTCGAGAAGGAAAATAATATACTCCTTTTACCTCTTCGGCGGCAAAACTGAAAGAAATGAAGTATCCAAGCAAAAGCACTGAAAGTTTAACGTCGCGATTGATATAAGGTAAGTACCTTGAAATGTTTTAGAAATGCTGTTCAAGTTCAGCTCTGTTTTGTACTTTTCTAAGTATCACGATTCAGGACGATTGCAAGCGGCGTACTCTTTTTTCATGTTTTCACTGAGGGGCCATGTTGTCTTTGAAGGTATTTATTTCTTCTCCTGTATATGTGACAATCGACCCGGCACTTCCTCCGTTGTCGCTTCTCCGTTTTGTTTGGTTGAACTTTGGCTTGCCATTTTCTGAGCCATGTTCACAAGATTTTCTTGTTTTCTCGTTGTCGCGAGCAAAAGAGGTTTTTTATGCCTCTTCGAGAATTTGTAGTTCAGTTCAAAACAAGGAAGAACCTCCCGCTCACTATAAAAACGCTTTTGTTTGTTTTGAACTCTTCAAAAGGTGACAATGGTTTTGAAAACATTTTAAAATGACATTGTAGAAAACCTTTTTTGCAGTTGTTGTGTTAGAATTTGACGATAGTTGTTACCTACATGTAGATGCGAAACAATACTGCTTAGCCTCGTTTTCAACTCGCAATTCCACACTAAATACCTCGCTTCGTTAACCAATCAGAATGCGAGATTTTACTCAGTTATGCGATTCTCAGCAGAACCTAGTGTAAGTGAAGAAATATTACTTGACAATAACAACATCACTGTTTCATGTAAATAAATTTGTCCCGAAGCATTACATTTTTATCAAAAGTTACAGGCAAAAAGAATGAACTTTAGGCCAATAAGTTTTCAAAAACCTCTATTCTTGGCTTGCAACCTCGTGACAAGGCGGTCATATTGGTGTGTGTTGGAGGTCATTACAATAGAATGTTTTTTTGAAAAATTTACATGAAAATAGGGTTTAGTTCCCGGAGGAGAGAAATGCTCTTTGTTCTTAACCCTAACACACCACCAATATGGCTGCTGTGACATCAAGTACAAACAAGCAATTGTAATCCATTTTAATCTTCTTCAAGTTTGTCTATCTGAGCATCCTTTTGTGTTTGCTGTCTTGTTTATACCTTCTTCTACTGTTGTGAGTAGTTATTTTTATGTTTCAGTCAATATGGTGGCGGTTTCATCTGTTCAAATTTTGATAAATTTCGTGCCACAGCTCCTTTATAAAATATTGATTTCATTGAAAACTTAAAATGATTTAAATAGTTTGAAAACAGGGCAGCTTACCTTTTCTTGCTATTTAATTTTCCAGCAAAATCCTGAGTCTTGGAGCGCTTTAGTAGTACAGTCCTTAGTATACTTCGGTGTTCAAATTCTCAATCTGCTTGACTGAGTCTCCTGTATCGAAAGGGTTGCCTCTTAAGATCTATCGACAACTGAAGGTTGCACGTTCGATGATAATGTGTTACAATCCTCAGATGTCCTGTGATGCTATCGAGAAGCATAATTATGGACTCAAACTTCTGAGGGAAATCAAACAAGTTGGAGTGATCGAAAAGATCGATTTCACACTTTCAAAATGGACGCCAAATCGGAACCTGAAATAGCATGTGCAACGCGAATACCCGCTGACCAGTTGCTTTGCTGTATTGTTTCATTTCCAGGCCTCATTCGAACGTATAACCCCCAGGTTTTCTTCCTTTTTCTTCTCCTGACAGAGGCGATACCCAGGAAGCGATAAAGGCAGTTCAAAAAACAATGTAGTATTTGTAGAAAGTTAGTCAATACTCCGTTGAAATTAAGTAGCCATAGTTTTTCGAGAATGCCGTCTGTCGTTCATCTTAAGTGAGGAAATAGCCAGTATCACGCATGTTCTCCCGGTTTTGAATTTGTTTTCGTTTAACTGGTTGTGACAAAGACACTGTATTATTTTTCAAGAGTAAGTGACAGGCTATTTATGTTAACAATGCCTTCCAGTCACCCGAACAGAATTACACGATCTCCAAAAACAACAAGCCAACGATTCTCATCGTTAGCGGCGTGAAAACTACTTCGGTCATGCTAAAAACAACAAAGAAAACAGATTATGCTACCAGAGTGCACGTGGCCTTACAGTTACTCAACTTTCATATCTCGCGTAAGAGAATGAGCGTAAAGTTGTTGCAACCTTATGTTACCTTCTTTACCAACCTCGGCGTACCTTGGAAAGTTTGCGTAAATGAGTTAGCTGTGTTTTTATTACGTAAAGTTTAATTTTTCCTAAATTTCAGTTTTCATGCCATTTTACCACAATGTCGAAAGTCGACATAGCTTTGGCTAACTGATATCGTTAAGAATCAGAGCTCGTATATTTCTTGACACACCGCAGAAGACGTGTCCGGGCCACGATTTGTCCTGATTTTTCACGACAGAGGTATCGGGGACACGGACACTCTCTGAAACGCCGCGTTTCATGACACCTCGCGTGTCGGTATACGATTTGCTAAGTGCCATGGGAGTATCGTGGCCCTGTAAATTCCACTAAATTACTTATTTCACGCAGTGGTCAAAGATGAAGCCAAAGGTGTGGTGACTGTGACCATCCTTTTGACGCTTGTCAAAGATGAAGTCAAATACGAACACTACACTTTTACAACACTTTTGAATTGTGTCAAAGCTGACAGCAAATATGCAAAAAATGGGCGCTCGAGAAGCGCGTGTGACTAATGTTGAAGAGTAAAACGCATTTTTTACGCTTTTGAATTCTATAAAATGTATTGCAACATTTCTCAATGAACCGTAACGCATTTTTAACCTTTTCCATGAATGCGTGCAACTTCGTCAGATGATGAAGAATGATCAACACATTGGCAATGTTACAATTTTTTTGCGTGACGATAGAAATGGTAGCGAAAGGTCAGTGCGGGACACGTAGTCACTCCAACATGTCCTTTTTGCAATGCGCTGCAAATGGTCTAGTCTCCTTTGCAGCCGTAAGAAGATTTTAAGACTTCTGATCTTTCGTGACATTGCGTGGGAAGACTCACAAGACCTGAAAGGAACCTCAGAAATTTATACCTTGACCGCGCTTCGTAGACGATAAATTATAATAACAGAAACATCTTTTAAATATTTAAATATAAAATATAGAGAAAAAAAACTCGAACAATATTCTGTTTCCTTTACTACGTGTGTTGCGAATTGCGTGTCATTTGCCTGAACATCCTTGCTGAAACATGATTCTGTTAACTACTTCGTTGCCTAACACGTGACCGAAAGACTGCTCGAAAATTTCATTACTCAAAGTAGCGATGTTGATATTTTCACAGGAGTTGATTTGGAGAGGAGAAATCTGTTATACATTTATCGTGGTTTGTGGACTTGGCTTAACTGCAGAATATACCGAGAAGTGAAGAAACGCTTCTTGAGAAATGAGGATGTATTTCGTTGCCTTTTGATTCGGTTGCACTAGCTATCAAAGCAGACCACGAGGCAACGATAGAGTGTGGTAAATATTTAAGCTGCCACACTCTATCGTTGTCGAATCGTATGTTAAAGCCTTGCAGTACAAAGTAATTAACTCAATTCTTTACACAAATACAAAGTTGTATAAAATAGGTTTTAGAAAAAATGATTTATGTACTTTCTGTGACAATCAACCTGAATCATTAACCCATTTGTTCTATCACTGCTCACGCTCTAAACAGTTTTGGATTGAATTTGAACTATATTGGTGCCTCAACGAATTCGTCTCTGCTTGGAAAATTCTATACTAGGTCAGATCAATGTCTCAAATCTTATAAATGTGCGTAAAGTGACGGCAGAAACAATGTTCGACTTCATGAACATGAAACCAGAAAAGAAAAAAAAAACATCAAATGCACTATAATAACTCAAGCTTACCAGTCGAGATGCAGCTCTTGAAAGCCATCATGTAAGGCCAGCATCGCTGAAGAAATTTTAACCCTCTTACGCATCCAGTAAGGCGAAGTACTATAAAGAGTAGCTTATTTTTGAGAACGATGATTTCCGATAACGCTTACTTTTTGTCAGGCAGCGCATTTCTCAACCAAAAACCCAATAAACAAGCCAGCCAAGAATAACAAACGAATCTTGATAGCACCTGTATTTGGTTTTGTAGATCCAGTGCAAAAAGACGGTTAAAATATAATAAGATGACACAAAACTCTGTCGGCTTCAGCTATCAATAAACAAGTCTCCAGATGTGTTCTCACAACCAAAATTTTTAGGATGGATAGTTTAGCAAATTTTCTTAGCTATGGGGCTCCGCTCGAGCTCGCTTTCGCGCGCACCAAGAGGCATATTTGGCAACACCTTCGTCAAACTTTTGACTTGAATCTCAGACATAATTGACGACACCTTTGACACTTCTTTGACCTAAGTCTTAGGCGGACACATTTGATGACACTTTTAGCAAGCCTTTGACTTGAATCTCAGACATTATCTTATCGCACCTTTGTCAAATCTTTGGCTCGAATCTCAGACATGACAACGCCTTTGACAGGCCGGCACAAATGCTTATCAAATAGTTATACTCTTTGACGCCCGTTAAAGGTGAGGGTTAAAGGCGTGACAAAAATGGCCTTTATCGTCTGACGACCCGCCTGAAACCGTCGTCAAAGACCAAAATTTGTCGCGCGTCAAAGGTGTACAAAGGTGTGCAAAGGTGGTGTTTGTCGCATCTTTGACTGCGCCTTTGACGCTCGGTAAATCCATGATTTCGTCCCGTGATCGGGTCCCAACAGCCCGTTGTTCTGGTTTTACATTTCCACTTATTTACATGTACATTGAATATCGTTACACACATACTAGGAATTTATTGCCAATTGCCAGTTTTCTATTGAGTGCATGGTCCACTCCTAGCGGAGCTCTCGCGCGCAAAGCGCGCCAGCGGAGCACCATGGGTTAGAAAATGAAGTAATCAACCCATCCGAGAAAATTTGGTAATCACGTGAACGTACACTGACCACCCGCCCGAGAGACCGTCCGTCCGCACCACAGGCATAACAATGTAAAATAACTCAATCAACAAGCATGGCAACCCAAATGCAACTCGTGGTTATTTTGGCGGGAAATCGCATAGCCACCAGCGTCTTTTAAAGCAGAGACAACAAGAGAGTCAATAAAGACGAAAACGGAAGGCGGAAATTGTTTCTGTATCCGTGTTGTCTAATTAATATCAAGGTTAGATAAATTGTCATATCCACAAATTTGGAATATAGAGCAAGAGAAAGACAGAGAAAAAGAGAAAGTGGGCAGCAGGCCAGCGAACCTCAACGAGAAAAAGGGCGACAGGGATTTAGAGCGAGAGATAAAAACAAAGGAGACAATTTTTTGTTGGAAGAACAACATGAAAATTTTGTAGCGGCGGTGACAAAATGAGAAATGCTAGCGGCCAGTGAAAAAACGTGAACGGGAACACGTACGACATGTCCTCCATAAAACGTGTAACTAAGAAGTTTTCGGAAGTTTCACGTTGTAGTCGAGAAAAACAACGGCAAAGAAATGTACAAAAAAGTGTGCTGCACGAGCAAAATTGCTTATGCTAATCAGACCTATTGTTGTTTTTCACCGCTTTACAGCGTTGCATGCCTTAGCCGCTTAGCATTACACGATTTTATATTTTGTTTCAACAAACGATAAATATTATCGAGAGCTTCGCTTTTAGCCCTGGCTAAATCTATATGTCAATATAGCCGGTAAAGCTGAGTTTCAAGGTTTGCATTTTAATTGCTTTAATTTTGAACTGCTTTTAACTAGTCTACTTCAAATGCGTGCAATGAGGCTCGTCTTAATTGACACTTTAATTCATCGTTTCGCAAGCTACAAGAAAAGAAGGCGCATAAACATCGACGTACTTGGACAACGTTTTAGGGGAAAAGCCTCATGTACAACAAGACTATCTTATTTCTAGGCAGCTCGCAACAAACCTCACATCCTTGAGTCGACCATGATTCTTTCTCCTCATGCCAGAATACACAGCTCCTCACTGCAGCATAAAATGAGTACCTGACGTCCGTTTTAGGATTAAATTTGCGAACTTGGGTAGGCGGGTGTGGCTTTACTTTAACACACAACAGCTCTTGAGCTCCAAAAACGTTACCATTGTTTATCCCAACCGTGTTTCTGTTGCTTTCGTTTTCAACTGCTGACATTTCTTTGGTTTCGTAGTAATCCTCCTTAATTTCGATACCGATGAAGTGGTCTCCAACATGACCAGTAACATTAGGCTCAAGTTCAAACTGATATGGGTCACGTGATGAACATTCGTTCCTTGAACATGGAGTTACTTTTGGTAATGTCATGACTAAATCATACTGTTTATTTGTTGGCATTGATTCCTTTTTGATATAGACTTTAAGGGTTATGTTCTTATTAGGCCGAATTCGTACAGTTGTAGTGGCTTCATACGATTGGATTTTCACCTGGTGAAAACGCATTTCGTTTCTCTTGAGAAACAGAAAATTCTCCGGTGCGGATTCTTCTGTATTTTCCTTGGGATTTCTGGAGAAAGTTATCCTTATTGGTACTTTGAGATCGTAAACATTAACTTTTGAACCATTGTTAGACCACAAAATTACATCAAGGACAGACAGGTTTCTCTTGATTATGCTTTCGTCCCAAGAATACGGGTTCTTTGCAAACCTGATGACCTGAAAGCAGTTACATTAAGGCGTTTAAGCAGACACGTTTTTGTGCGACGCACGTCAACCGGAAGTGAGCCTTTTCCCCTTTTAATATACCTTGACGCTACAAAATCTGTATGGCTAACTGTCTTTACTCTTATAGAGAAGATTTGCCCAAGAATTTGTTCAAAATCACGGCCGAAGAGTGCAAAGAGTCCTATGACGGGTTGACGTGCGTCGCGCAAATGTTCTTGCCTCATTAAATAACTTTTGGGGTTGATAATACACCAAAACATCCCTTCGACGCATTTGATACGTTTTCTAAATACTTACGCACTACACGGTTTTATGCTGCTCTTCAACGTTTCAAAAACTGGGCCACGTTTTAAAAAAGTTGACTATAAATCTTGTGGTTTGTAAATGCTGTCCTGAAGACCCAAATTTTATCTGCATGTTTTCTTGTTCATCCTTGGTCATTTACGACAATATAGAAAACCGACACGTTTATCCAATATCTTGTTATCTCAAATTCGATCGAAAAGAACTCTTGTTTCAAATTCATTCATTGTCTTTGGACATAGTAGAATTGAATACTCTATCCCGTTTTCGATATATTGCATATTGCACAGCACCAAAAAAAAAAAGAATAAAAAAATTAACTTTCTTTTGAGTCATGATTGGCAGCCTCTAGTAAGGGTACATTAGTAGGACGGGGACGACATGGCCTATTTTATTAGCCACCATTTTGAATGCTGCATCGAATTGAATTACGAGCCTGTTTTGAAGACACATTTTATCCCATTTCCTGCGCAACCTTGTAATAGGCAATAAAAAGAGGCAAAAACGTCCTCAAAGCAGCCCCTTCATGCAATTCCACACAATATTAACCCAATCTTAAGCAGGGCCAATAAACATACAGGTCAGGCGCATTTATTTCAAGGTCAGTTAACTAATATGACATGAGCATATAGCAGGCTTAGGCCAAAAAATTATCGAGGTGCTCAACATTTTAAGTTTTTCGCTTACCAATTGATAGTTTTTCATTTAACCTGGGGGTTCAAGCTTAAATTTATGCCAAGGTAAGAATTGCTGCTTGGTTTAAAAGGAATGCGATCCTCCTGAGTAACTTACCTGCAGAGATCCCCCGTGAAGGGCACTTTTCCATTTTCCTGTGTAGATTTCCTTAGGTACAAGAATTTCATCCAACTGCAAAACTTGGGTTTCGGACCCTGACGTATTTAGTTTTGCAAGTGAAACTAAAATTCCTGGGACTTCCATTCTGACTGTGGCTTCAGACGGGCTTTGACGTAGTAAGCTGCTTCTCATTTCACAGATGCGACGTATTGACATTAATGCCCTTTTAGTCATGTTCTGTGTGAAAATAATAGTACTGTAAATACTGTCGTTCCTTAGTTAGAGCTGTGCATCTATAGCTATCTTTCTATTCAAACTGAAATTTCTTCTAAGCTTTCCGATTGTTGGTCCGTCATCATTGCTAAGCGGAGAAAATTGTTTAAAAATCGCGCTTTTAGTACAAATCGTGCCAAATTTAACTTCAGAACTCGTTTGTCTTACAAGCCGAGAAAAATTATAAACATGAAATCATGGACACAGTAAATTATTTTTGACTGCATGCCAGGCTCTGTGATAGTACCACAGGTCGATTCCTGTAACATTACACTGTGAGTGTATGGGGATAATTATAAGTTACGATCCTAAGATTTGTAGGAAATACCAAATAAAAGTCAATGAAACTTAATGTGCAGTTAGTTTTGTTGTCCTTAATGCTCACACGACGTTTCATGATATTTGCTAGCTGGCATGCAGTCAAAAATAATTTAATTATAAACATGAAATCATGGACACAGTAATTTGCTAAAATTCATCCCTCATATTACAAGGTAGGTGTCACCAGACGAACTCTCAGCCGCCATCGCTCTTTTCCAACGCCACTGTTTCCACGAAATTCGGACACCAAAGGCAATTAAAAACGCTAGGCTCTTAGAAATAAGACTGCCTGAGATAAGGAAACCAATGAAGCTTCCCCAGCCAGCGAAAGGAATCAATCTTGGCCGCGCGTTGGTCTGGCCCAGCCACTTCGGCGCAAGTATTTGCGATAATTCCCTTCTTCGAGTTTCACAAACTCTGTTGGATTCGTTTCGCTTGCTGGGGAAGCTTCATTGGTTTCCATATCTGGGGCAGTCCTCTTTCTTAGAGCCTAGCATGGTAGCTGAGAGTTTCAGAGGGCCACCTACCTTGTAGATTTTATTGTATGGGGGCGGGGTGAGTTTGAGCAATATAAAATGAAACGTCGTGTGAGCATTAAGGACAACACCAACTAACTGACTTTTATTTGGTATTTCGTACAAATTTTAGGATCGTAACTTAACTCCTTACAAACACTTTAATATTTTACTGAAATCGTACCGTAGTACTATCACAGAGCCTGGGTTACTGTCGTAATAGTACAGTAGGGGCAAAATTAGCCTTTTTTGCGGTAAAATCTCATTACGAGTAGGCCATGTGTTATTCTCCTTCGAATAATGCTCCGCCCTTCGGGATTCAGATTGTATATTTCCACGGTTTGCCACCAGGTCGTTACGGTTCAACGATCACTGTTATGCAAATGAAACACTATATGAGAACATCATGTGCTCTTCACAAGTTGTCTTTTTTTCGCGTGCAGACCAGGTGGTCAATCGTCATGTCGTAGGACAACGATCCAAATGGGATGTCTGTGGATGAGTCGGCCACAAATCCAACTCGATCCGGTTGCGAACCGGGTTAATGCATTCGAGTCAAAACTAGACTCGTTAGCCAGTTCAATGCCCAAAATGTCCGACTCCTTTTTTCTCCGTTTCTTCAACAGCAAATGGCCGTAATAAGTGCTGAAGAAGAGGATGCTCTTCTTGCTGACGGCGAACAACATAGTCTGTTTGACCCAACTGGAGGTACCGTCGTGGAAGCTGAGGATGATGATGTTGGTGATCTTCCCTAATGAGACCTTTTCAGGGATGCAGAAGACTGCGGTTCGAAATTTAACGATGGCTAAACGCGTAAACGGCGCGTGCACCAAGGGGCCTGCCAAGGAACAGTTCTCGCCCATCCACAAGAAGTACCTTCGTCCCAAACATTGTGAATTCCTAAAAGCCCCTCGGGTGAACCCCGAGTTGTAGGACAATTTACTGGACAAAACAACAAGTCGTGAACGTTCCTTCCAGTCATTTCAGAAGAATTTGTTCAAAGGGATAACTCCCCTGGTGCAATTGGCGAGCAAGGTAGGTGACGCTAAGAAACGAAAGGAAGTATCCGTTCCACTAAATGATATTATTTATGACCTATCGGTTGATGCTTTTACTTCGCTGGGTAATTCTTTCTATGAGTTTTCCATGAAACGCCGTGAGATGTTGAAGTCTGAAGCTGCCAAGCAGAGAGGGAAGGCTTGTGATACGGTAAATGTAAATGTAAAATGCTCCAGCTTAAAAGTCGTTATGTCATGAGTTGCAACCCCTTACCACAATGCTGTTTGGCGACGAAATGCCCCAAAGGTCAAGCGAATGGCCGCTAAAAGTATCAGCAATGACCGTTGCAGGTCCAGCGCTTCGGCTTATAACTCTGAGTTTGAAGAAACCTCTCGTGGCCGTCAGTATTCTAATTTTGGACGGAGCCATTTAAACTGCAAGCGCCATTACGAGTATCAAAAACCGCGCTTCCAGAAGAGATACCAATCGTTTCCACGCCAGTCTCGATAGAGTTCCAGTACATCGACCAAGCAGAAGTGATTTCCCAAACTTCATGCGTCTATCCTCAGGTAGGTGGACGTTTAGCAAAGGTTTGATCGTTTCTAAATAATTTTACTACTGATAGTTGGGTTTTACCGACGGTGAGCGGCTACAAGATTTCGATTTTCATCTGAGGAAACAGAGTCAATTGACCTTGACGTTCATACGTTGTTACAGAAAGGTGCCATTAGGGATGCTGTGCCTCAACACAAACAGTTCCTTTCTAATTTGTTTGTTATTCCAAAGAAGATTGGCGACTTAAGACCTGTCATCAATAAAAAAACCAGAATGAATTTGTTCAATAGCATTATTTTAAGAAGGAGGGGTTGAATTCACTTCTAGATTACTTGTCGGGATCCGAATTTCTTACAGCCATTGAGATCAAGGATGCTTTCGTTGGTCCCAAGGGATTTCACCAACGTAATGAAGCCTTTTGTGTGGGCTGTTTGTAACAAAGGAATAAGATTAGTTATATATCTTGATGACATACTTGTCGTCAGCTCATCTCGTGAAATTTTCTGCCGAGGAAACTACAACTGTTATTCATATTCTAGAGTCATTGGGTTTTATTGTTAACAAAGAAAAATCCCAGCTTGTCCCTTAGCAGAGACCTGAATTTCCAACTTTTGTCATAAGTACTGTGAATATGGTTGTCTCTTCCAGAAAGGAAGATAAATAATCCGGTAGACCATGCTACCTTTCTCCGAGAAAAAAAACCATCGCTCAATTCGGGAGTTAGATCATTTTATTGGTTTAGTTGTTTCTTCCTTTCCGGCAGTTAAACCGGTAAGGCTCTACTACCGTGAGCTTGAGGTCTGTAAATTAGATGCTGTAAGTGCTAATGATGAAGATTACAACTCAATTATTTGTTCATCAAAGAAAACGAATGCGGGCCTAGATTGGTTTATTTTAAGTGGTCACTTCTATAATTCGACTAGCCTTGAGAAACCGTCAACAGTCAGTACTTTAATTACTGATGCCTTCAAATCAGAATGGGGTGTTGTCTGTAATGGAGTTTCATCTAGTGGTTTGTGGTCCAAAACAGTGCTGGTATAGCATATATTTACAATTTGGAAGGAATAGTTCCTACTTTGCATGCATTGGCATAATCTACTTGGGAGTGGTTCCTTGCACGCCATTGTTTATTGCAGGCACATCATATTCCGGGAAGCTCTAATGCCAGAGCAGATTATTTGTCTAAGAGTCATAATCAAAATATTGAGTGGAAATTGCATCCTACAGTGTTTCTATGGGTCTCGCAATCATTGTTTGTTCCAGACAGATTTATTTGCCTCTCGCCTAAATTTTGAGACAAAGAGCTATGTTTCTTGGTTCCCGGACCCAGATGCCTTGGCGGTTGATGCCTTTTGATTACATTGGAAGATTTTAAACTTTACGTTTGTCCTTCTTTCAGTCTCCTCGGGAGAGTTCCTCGAAAGCTCAAGTTGGAGGAAGTTTCAGATGCTTTAATCATAGCACCCTGTTTGCCAACAGCTCATTGGTATCCTCAACTTCCGGAGTTGCTAGTTCAACGCCCTGCCCTTCTACCTCAATGCGAAACTCCTACCCTTGCCTCAGGAAGACGTTCTACTTCCTCTCGGGGAAATGATACGACTAACTGCGTGGCATGTAACCGAGATAGCCTGGAGGTCAGAGGAATTTCTCAGAGGGCAGCCAATTATGTGCTCAAGCCCTGGTGACCCGGAACAGTACTCTACAGTATGGAAGGTCTTTCTGTTGCTCGTGTGAGAAGAAACAGAGAAATCCGCTTCAGACAGATCTAGTGACAATTTGTGACTTTTTTACTGCACAGTTTGAAAATTCCAACAAGGCGCTGTGGGAGCGTATATTTGGGCGTGGTTGTAATATGCGTATGATACGTTTAACATGCCTTATTGCAGCTAAACAACTGTCATCATATCCCACCAGAGAAAATGAATCCTTTACCCTACTTCTTTGCTGAACCACACAGCTTATACAGCATGTTCCAATCCACAACAAAAATCCTGTCACTTCATGGCATTGAATTGAAATGCACATCTTCAACACAGACTTGCTCTCAACCGAATTGCAACACAGGACACCAGTGCTTACCGCCCGGACAGTAAGGTTTATCTCAGCTCCACTGATACTGACACTTTAGGGAAGATCGACTGGCATATATCTTTTCACACCCATCATATTTTACAGTGTATTCCAGTTACTAACAAGGGAAGATAAAGTTCCTGAAGTCCAGTGTACAGGATTTGTAACAGAGTAACACATTGCATAAACTGCTATAGCGCAGCACTGTTTACAGGAACACTGTTAACTATTAACATTTGATATACTACAATATCCAACACTGCTTGAAAAAAGATCAACTTCAAAGTTGGCAATATGTACACCTTTAAGCTCATATATATCCTTATTCCTATATAGACTCTGAAAATATTGTACTAATTTATGCATGGATAGCATATGTCCCTTCACCATGAATGTTACCATACATATCTCTAGGATGAAAATCAAATACATTATATCCCCCGCCCTCAATACTGTAGATACCAACACCAATAACTCCCACCGTTAAAATGAATGAGTTGTAGTTCAGAGCCAAGAGTGTTTCAAATGCTGTACCCAGTGGCATATGCAGTAGTGATACCCCTCAATTCTGGCATCACCATTCATGTTATAAGTGTAACTTGCACAGTATTCAAGCTGGAAAACATTCCTGGCAATTCGGTTAACATTAACATAGATTGTCTTTTAAGCAGTGACAGACTAGAATATAATTTATTACTAACAATCATTATTTGAATCATATCATCAACAAAAATAATCCTTCTTATCTTACTGTAAATTAAAGCCCACAGATTCATCGCAACTCATTGTTGTCCAACATTTTCCCCAAATACTGCAACATTTCCTTGACAGTATGGAGCATGAATTGTTTTTGTAGCATCTAAACAATCTGAAGGTCCTGGATTCCTCCCGATATCAGTACAAAGCTTAAGAGCGTGTCTCCGTAAAAACCGACCAGTGATTTTGGATCAAAAAATTAATTTTCCTTATATTCTGGGATATTAAAGCCTCCACCTTAGTAGTTGCAAAAATGCATTTCGTTTGACCGAAAGTGATAAATATATTTTTTTACGAATTTTTGAATTTCCGGGCGGTCAGCGCCGGCGCCATAGCCGTTCAAAGTGCGAAAATCGCTAATATTGACCGCGCTCTAGAAAACAAACACCTGGCTTAAAAAGACTGATTTTCTTTTCCGTATACAGATACACCACTGTAGATTTCCTAGCCATATCACAGTTCCGAATTATTTGTTTATTTCCAACGGCAATGATTTTTTCCCCAGCACGTGTTTTCGGCTTTCCATCAAAACACGAAAGTAGCTCAACTTTGAGGGTAATTTTAAAAAGTGTGGCACCTGTCTGAACTTCGCTATCTGTATGAATACAATCTAGGAATGATAATAAAACTCAACAAGGAATAACATTTTTGTGCTCTCCACGTTTTCAGAATAGGCCGCCGTTTGAATTTCCAGAAATTTCGTAAACCAGATAATTAACGAACACTCGCCTTGTCGATCTGCTTGTCAAAGTCCAACTTCATTTGATGGCTTGATGGGTCTTATCCAAGTTCTTTCACATTTTAAGGTTATTTCTTAATCATCTGAAACTATATTGGCCGTTGATTCCATGTCCTTGGTCCGTTTTAAGAAGTTATCTTGTTTATAAAATGGCAGTATCGCCAGCGTGACTGGTTCGTGACACCGTCCTGAAAGGTCTTTTGCTAAAATTAGTTGGATGCAATCTTGTTCATTGAGATTACTCTTCAAGACATCGCGGGGAAATTTGTAGAGCAAATAAAACACTTTTCTTTGCAAATAAAACGCGATGAGTCGCTAACAAGGCGATTTAACCCAGTTCAGATTAAAGTTGAAATTTGCGTGACTTTTTGTATTTCATCCCCAGTCCTTCTGGACTGGACACAAATCAAACAAGGGGTAACATGGCTACTGATACAGTGAAGTGTTCTTTCTCGGGCTTCGGAAAATCTAGTTTTGGAGGTTTTCGAGGTTCGGATACAGTATGTAGGTTGCGAGAATGCCAGGAAGATATAACGATCCACTTGAAGACATGCCATCTTTCAAAACTATCTGGAATGATGGAGTACGAACTGATACTAGTCAGGGCGGGGCTATTCGATGTGCCAAAACACCGGCAAGAAGAAATGTTCGTGTGTCCAAAACACAGACATAATTTGGGTCGCAACTGGCGTCCGTTGAGGACATGTCGATATCCTCTTCATTCAGGAGCAAGGAAAAAGCTAAAAAATAATCATGCTATCAACTTGGAGATGTCCAAGAATATTCACGCAATTTTTGGAATCACAATTCCCATTGGGTCAGGTAAGCATTCTACTACACAATATTTTACGTTTTCCCTTTTTTGAGGAGCAACGATTGACACAGTTGGTTATTGCGTAGCCCTTGGAGTCTTCTGTGTGAGAGGTCTTGAGATTGATGTCCATGGCCAGGTGTGAGAAATTCTTTCCGTGTAGCTTCAAGTAGCTTAAATACCCGTAAAACGGAGTACTGATGAAGAGGGCGTTTAAAAAGGTTTGTCTTTCATGATGAAATGATCATTTCGAAGTACCGACGTATGTGAGGCGCCTTTACTTTTTAACTTTCAATAGAATAAAAGAACTCTTAAAACCAAGGTAAATGTCATGGTCAAGTATTCCGAATTGTGTAACAAACTTTAAATCTAATTATAAATAAAGACTAAAAGAGAAGGTCGAGGGAATAACCATTCAACGTTGTTGTAAAACCTTGAAAGGGAATCGTTCCATAAGGTGTTTATTTTTCCGGCTATTTATATCATAACCAGTTATATTTTTTGGCAACAGTGCCACGATGTAAGTGTAGAAATCTTGGATTGAGTAAATAACAAGTATGAAATGAACATTCTTGTTTTACATTGTTTGGTCAAGCGCGTTAGTATAATTAGGACAAGTATATTTGTTACAACACAGACGTTCAAAAATACACAAGTATTCCTGGATTTTTGCGAGATTTAAAAGGTGCTTAGAATGTCTTTACAGGCCTGTCTATTTTTTACGTTGATTCATAGCGTTCTATTTTTCAAAGAAAGAGATAATTTCGGTAAAGTAGCCTACATGCACGTGACCCACGAAATTATGCGAAACACTTGGCAATGTTCCCCTTCTTTAAAAACCCTATTTTGTGAGTATCGGGGATTTTGTATTTGAAACGTTTTTTAACCCTGCTATATGCTATATCCTGAAAACAATTTTTCCGACACCTCAAGACCTAACCGCGAGATTAAAAACTGTTTTGAGTTTATTTTGCCAGTTGTCAAATATCAATTCAGTGTTGGTTCTAAAAGTAAGTTTTACGCTACGAATCGACTTTGACTAAAAGTTAAATTCATCATTGTGATACTTTTTAATGCACAGCAATTTGCACTACTTGTGTCAAGAAGCAAAGACAAAAATATGAGGAAAATAAACGTTGGCTGGGGGAAAACACTGAGAGTGAGAAATTAGGGGAATATGAAGAGACAAGGTGTGTTTAAGGTGACTCGACCCAGTTTTTTTTTGGGGGGGGTGCCATCCTACTTTGAAGCTCTCTGGTATCCCCACCTTTACTTTTATCGTAAGTCTAACACATAGAATGTATAACGTATAGATCAATCTACAATATAACATAAAATTTTTGGCGATCGGAGTAAATGTCATGTGGTTATAATGCCACGCCCCTTTGAGGTCTGAGTCAAAAATCTGCTGTTGCCGGTATTTTTTCTTGAAAATTTCTCGGCTACACATAGTGCGCATTAGTGCCTTGCCCAACCAAAATCGCAAAGACCCAATTCGAGAAATTCAGCGGTTTCCAAATTTAGGTGATAATTTATGCGAAAATGATAAGCAAACTTTACACGATTATATCTAATAAACTATGAGATTCATCCCTTTATTTTGGGCATCGTTATAACAGATGGGTCCTTGCAAGTCAGCAAAGAGCTTTAGGGCCTTGTAAATGCGCGCGATTTCGAGCAAAGCAAACATATAGAAATTATAGTTTTCGCTATTTGTTGACGTTTGTCAGCGTTTAAGAGCCTTCTCACGAAAACAGCATTTTCTTAAAAATTCGTAGTTTTTTTTCCTTCAAATTTTTTCAGAGCCACAATTGATTAACTAACTACCCGGACTCTGACTTTCATGGTCATTGAAATTTGGAAAACTGTGACATTATCTTCTCTAAGCCCAGACTTGAGTAAACAAGATCAGAAAGGACTGGGCAACAAAATTTACATCAGTGGATGTGGCTGTGAAAAAATCTACACCATTTATGTTGGCGTCCGAATCATCAACTGACGTAGAAAACCCTGCAGATGGGATGGGCACTAAGCAAGGCCCACGCAGGTTCCATCCGGTTTTCTCGTGAGGTTAAAGAATATCTTACAGCCAAGTTTGAAATTGGTGAGCGAACTGGCCGCAAGGCGGACCCTGTTCAGGTTGAAAAGGATATGAGAACAGCACGGAATGTGAATGCCAGGGTCCAGTTCAATGAATTTCCGCGCAGCGTGGGGTCCTGGGAAGGACGTGGAAACTGTAGTAGCGTGGCCTTGGTTTCTCAATTCTCTTAGCTGAAATGTGTTGAACCATATTTGTAAGTGCGTTTATGTTAAGCTGAAGAAGAAAATGTATCGAAGTATGACGATTCAATGTTAATTACATCGAACTTTACAGAAAATGTTAGGAAACAACCGTGTCACGCTCGCAACTGATGACGATCTCTATTACTTTTATACAAACTAGATAAAAGATGCCGTCGAAGGACAGGTTTTAAACAAAAAATTCTATGTTTTTAGAGTTAAAGCGGCTACTTCAGGAGCAAAAATATCCTCTAGAAAAACCAAGAGGGACATTACAACCTAAGAAGTTAATAAACAAGTGAACGAGCTAGTATTTGTTCAGGTCATCACCCAATGCAGGAGAACTGGGGATGAAATACAAAGTCACGCATTTTTCAAGTTTGTCAGAAGACTTGGTTGGCGTCGTATTTGCAAAGGGACGTGTTTTATTTGCCCTACAAATTTCACTGCGATGTCTTGAAGAGTATAATCTCAATGAACAAGATTGCACCCAACTAATTTTAGCAAAAGACCTTTCAGGACGGTGTCACGAACCAGTCACGCTCGCGGATGGCTTCCATTTTATAAACCAGATAACTTCTTTAAACGGACAAAGGACATGGAATCAACGGCCAATATAGTTTCAGATGATTGAGAAATAACCTTAAAATGTGAAAGAACTTGGATAAGATATATCACACCATCAAATGAAGTTCGACCTTGACAAGCAGATCGACAAGGCGAGTGTTCGTTAATTATCAAGTTTACGAAATTTCTGGAAATTCAAACGGCGGTCTCTTCTGAAAACGTGGAGAGCACAAAAATGTTATTCCTTTTTGTGTTTTTCTATCATTCCTAGATTGTATTCATACAGATAGCGAAGTTCAGACAGGTGCCACACTTTTTAAAATTACCCTCAAAGTTGAGCTACTTTCGTGTTTTGATGGAAAGCCGAAAACACGTGCTGGGGAAAAAATCATTACCGTTGAAATAAACAAATACTTCGAAACTGTGATATGGCTAGGAAATCTACAGTGGTGTATCTGTATAAGGAAAAGAAAATCATGCTTTTTGAGCGAGTTGCTCGTTTTCTAGAGCGCGGTCAATATTAGCGATTTTTGCAGTTTGAAAGGCTATGACGCCAGCGCTAATCGTCCGGAAATTCAAAAATTCGTACAAAAATATATTTATCACTTTCGGTCAAACGAAATGTATTTTTGTAACTACTAAGGTGAAGGCTTTAATATCCCAGAATATAAGGGAAATTAATTTTTTTATCCGAAATCACTGGTCGGTTTTTACGGAGACACGCTCTTAAATAAATGGCCAAAATTAACCCGGTGATTCAAACTCTTGTAAGCACTATAAAATGGATAACTGCATATACAGAGGGGGAAATACTTACTTAAAACCCTTTTTGGATATCTCATACCACCTAAATCGCCTCTGCTTTGATGCTTAGACAACAGATACACCTTCCCTCGTTTACGAAATTATTTTGGAGTTGCCCTTTAGGTAAAAACCTTACACTGTTACAGTTACTTTTGCACCTGTTTAAGTCTAAACCATTTGCATTTTTAACGTAACAATGAATTTTAGACGACAATGATGTATTTTTCCGAATACACTTACATACAAAAACTCTCACTTCCCGTGTTTTCTGTAACAAAGCTTTTAATTTCTTCATCGTTAGGATAAAATTTTAAAAATTCACATAAATCAAGTCTGCTAGGTGCACGACCGCGTCAAGAGAAATGATTAACCTTCTTTAAACCAACGGAATTGTAAGTTCTGTTATAACTAAATTTCCCACGACGAGATCTCAATTCAAGAGTGGTTTTCAGAGAAAACCGGGCAAAATGTTAAAAATGTCAACGGAAGGGGGTCAACAGAATAATTTCATACTAACATCATAGATAGGTCAGGTGGAGTAATGGACAAATATACCAAACATAGGTTCTTCACTGCTCTTGTATTAGAGATACGAGCATCACTTTATTCGACCCCCTCAGACGCCATTTTTTTACGCCAAGTTTCACCATTTTCTGAAACTCACAGAACCGTCAAAATTAAACGAGCGAAGTTCATTTTTTTATGTGACACAACACATCACAGAACTACTTTCTAAAACCATAAAATTTTTTAAGTAGCTACGGGCAAGACTAAAATTTTCTTATTTTATCTGACCTTGACTTAGTGTCAGCAAACGAGCCAAAAATCGGGCCTTTTTGAATTGACCTACAGCGCACAACTAAAACGGTAGAACAGCTCTGACAGCCAAATTGAAGTCTACTATCATCCATGTTACCAAAACACTAATAATCCTTTTGGGCCATTGCAACAGGAAGAAATTAGAAAACTCACATTTGTTATAGTTTGCAAACTTTTTCTTGCAAACAGGCCGATCCCTTCGTGTTTGTTTTAAGTCCTCTTCGTGAATTTTCTTTCATATTTCGTTGTAAAGTATGTTCAGCAGCTGGAGAACATATCAAAAAGCTCGAAATACTGCCTAGGTTACATTTTGAAAGGGCAAAAAGTGCTGAAGGATAGGATGAACCTAGAAAATGACAAAGCGACGCCATCTTGAAAATTCAGCACTCAGGAGGGACTGGCTCTAGTAGCTGCGTTCGATATCTACCATACGGACAAAAATTGCAAATTTTTCACGACTCCATTGTCTCGCAATTCCCATAAGAGACTTGAGCACAAAGAAAACCAAACCTAATACAGAAATGTAACCAGGAAGCCTCCGATTCATGTTAGAATTTTTCTTTACCGAACGTGGGCTATTACGAACTATTACCAGGAGCCATGAAAAACAGAAAACACAAACAAACAGGCTTATCAGCGACCTACTCCAGTCTTATTTCTTCTTCAATTACTTCTTTTAGTTGAATTTAACTTGTTTTTCTTTCAAAGGAAAAAACAACAAGAACGCCTGATCGCAGGTTAACTGCTGATTAACTGGCATTGCTTCATTCGCTCCTCATTTTGAGGTGTCCCGTTAATGTAGATAATACCAGTAATAGTTGACACTACAGCTGCCTCCGCTCTTCGTATTGTCGGTCAATAAGGACTTTAAGATACGGCGACTACGGACTACGACTACGGTTAAAAATGCTACTGCCCATGATCAAAACCACGTGACTGTTCATTTTTCCGCGTAGTCCTGCGGTTACGGTAAGTTGTTGAGCTGTTTCGCGTAGTCGGGACTACGAGAACATTTTGCTCGTATTTTTGCCGTCTCGGTAATTCAAGAATCTCGTCTTTTCGTAAAAATTTTTCAATTCACCTGCTTTAAGTGAGAGGGAAGCGAAATTTGTAAGTTGTGTCTAATTTCTGATCAGATTTACGCTTTTAATCCACTCTTGTGGCTACATTTTTATCTAGCTAAGCTCATATTTAAAATAAGCTTAGCTGTTTATACGCAGAATTCAGATTGAAGGCTAGGAGAAGAGAAATCATGCAGGTAATTTACTTTCTCTTCGCACTTGAAAAGTTTCAATGTTTGTTCGAACTGATTAGTGTGTCTTTCTACTTGTGTAACCTTTGTTTATGCGAGTTTTTGTATCGCGCCATTTGCTGAATGAAAATGATGTAAACATCTTCGAGACAATCGAAACTCGGCATTTCAATACTTCAAACTACATCAGATCAGTAGTCGGCGAAGTCCATCTTCTAAATCTTATGGATGAGCTATTACTATTTCTGTCTATTTCTTTAATATTTGACATAAGTATTCATGGGCGAAAAAATAAAACTTGTGTAACCAACACTTTGCTTACTAATTTCACCCGACGTAATTGCCTCCTTCAAGTATGGAAGAATTTGTTCATTGTTCTAAAGATAAGATCACATGCAAAACTGACTTGCATTTTTGTGAACTGTGATGAAAACAAGAAACTCTTCGCGTGTTGTTTCCCTCTCCGCCTCTTCTCTCGTAGTCTACTGTCTGTAGTGCAATCTTAACGTTCTATATTTGCACGACTCAACCCAGTGCTACAAACAAAGGACAACGCTCGGCCAGCCGTAGTTCGTAGTCCGTAGTCTCCGTATCTTAAACTCCCTAATAGTATTCTTGTTGGTGTAGCTCTTTGAAATTTACCGATTCATACTGAAGATGTTCACACATATTACATACGATAGGTGAGAGTAAAACAGGACACGCAAGGTTCCATCCACTGTTTCAGTTCGATTTACACAGCTTTGATCTGAAAACATTTTCAGTTTCGAGAATATTTCATTCTCAACTATTCGAAAAGATTTCATTAAAAGTTGGAATTTCTCGATATTTCTTTCACTTTTTAAATACAGTTCATTTTATTTGCCGGAAAGTAAGCCTTAGAAATTAAAAGGTTTGATCAAATCACGCTCGCGCGTTGTAGTCCTTTTTTTAAATTTATAGAAGGACATCTATCAGCAGGGAATAAGTCAGCACAGAATTATGATTGTCGGCGAATTTCTGTAATCGTTTATCGTTCTTTTAGTGATAAGCTAGCCGTTGATTCACTCGTCTTGTTTGGGGCTGAGTCTCCAAAGAGTACAGTGTATGACTGTACAACAAATTTCACAAGATCTACCTGAGCGGTCCCTTCGGGATTTTCTGTTTTATGTCATCCTAACCATCTGTTACTTGCAGACGCGAACAATAGCAACGTCATCATTACCTACCGATTCCTCGCGGCCCTTGTTCAAGCAAATCGAGATTTTTTCAGGCATACTGACTGTATATTTCAACTGTAAGTACTTTTTCCTTTTTATACGCGAGAGTTACTAGAGTGCTTCCCCGGGATTTCGCCTTCGCTCTCATACGAACTAGCTAGACTTGCCGTATATCAACCTCGCGAGTTTCTAAGCATGCACGCTAACTGCGGGCAGTGGATATTGCTTGCTGAAAATTTGCAATAATTAAAAAACAGTTGAAACAGCGTGCGGAGCGGGCTATTTATGCCGCAAAGCGGCCAAGCGTGCCAGCGGACGAAATACTTTTTTAAAATAAAAGCCTTCTAACTGATGATCTCATTGCTGTTACTTCGCATTTCCAATTAAGGTAATAGACCTTCGAATGTTGACAAGAGCTGTGAAAATAAACCATTCATAGGGTTTACCAGAATCTGGTATACCGGAAGGATCTGGAAGGAGATTTTGTTAAAAAGTACCATTATAGTAGTTCCTTCGACTCTCACTCCCTAACCCTTCACGTCACTGTTTTTCCTGTTCACTTCTTTTTCAGAATGCTCTTTGCACGGTCTACACAAGATAAACACCATGGGTCCGGACGAATTTTTTAGCTGACTGTGCAACCCTTTTAGAGGGAACGTGCAAATTCACTTACAGATTGCGACTGTTTGCAGTTCAAAAACTTCCACGGTTTCGCGGGTCGCATGTAAAGAAAAGGTGGATGTGTGCAAGTTTTTGAATGTTCAAAAATTTGTAAAAGGGGTCTGAGTGTTCACTCCGATCTTTCATTCGACCACTCCAATTCCTTGTGTATTTCCGCCAATGAAATACCTTTTTCTATTCAATTTGTACAAGCTAGTCGATAAGTAACAACGTTCTTTTTCAAATCTTCACTAGAGCAAAGCGTGACGATCCTCCAATTAAAACTACACCAATAAATCGGCATATATCACTGAGGAATTATTACTTATGTAAGGAAGATCTAAATCGAATATTTTCCGGTGACAACGCTGCCAACGAGAGAGCTTCTCTGAATCGAAGGGAACGCGTTATAGGTCTTTTTACAGTTTAGTCCTATCTCAGTGTGTTTTCTGATGAAAGTATTTGTTTCTGAATGAGAAAAACCCAGTTAAAGTAGCAAACCGGATAGTCGAGGAAAACTTCTCGAAACAGCAAAACAAATAAACAGTTATGTTAACAAATGCAGCCCAATATCACAAGAAGGTTGTTGGGGAACTCCTCGTTGAAGAAGCTGAAAATATAGACGATGCAGACTTGGGACAATGGGCAAACGCAAAGAATGTAGCAAGTCTTGGTATACGATTCAAGCAGATTTCCGTCATTTTATCATTTACGTTTGCCACGACATTTGCAGTTCTATCAGCTAAAATATGCATACAATCTACGGTTATCAAAGAGCCTGTTGGTCGTAAGAAGTCATAGATTATGTTACTCCAAATAATGCCCTTCTAGCTCCTTGTTAATACTTTGTCCGATCGCTTGAGGTTTCAACGCGGAAAAATAATCGGAACACTGGAGCTCACATAAACCATGCCGTAACAGCTCGCTTATAAACCGTCCCTCGACCCCCACTTAAAAGTAATCCCCCCTGACCCAGTTATAAGCCCATCTGCCTGTAAACAACAAAAAAAGTTCAGAAGCCAAGTGACGTTTGCGTTTTTCGCCGCCGCCAATCATCTTAGCGGACCTTTTAGGAAAGAAAGTTTACTTCAACGGGTTCAAAAGGTCATTGGTGGATTTCGATCCGTTTTGTGAGTTTCTGTTTCACGGTTCGTTCCTCGTGATCGAAATGATGATTAACGGCAGCGTGTTATACTAAGAGAATCACAACTATCCTACAGGTAAGTAACCTTTATCTAATTTTATATTGCCAAGTAACTTGACTGGTTTGACAGGTTTTCTAGTTGTTGTTAGGTCGACGAATGTCCTGTTTTTTGAGTGATTGTTATTCATTAATTGATTCATGTTGTCGAAGGAATAAGCGATAACTCGCCTGTTACTCAAAATCGTTGAAGCATGACGTAATTACGCAAATTCCTTTTTTTATCGCCTCCATTGCCCATTGCAGAAAACAAATTGTTCCAATTGCGATTCACTGCAGATCGTGATGTTAATGAATTCGAATGCAAACTAGCTCCTTTTAGCAAGAAGCACAATTTTATACTTATCCCACTCCTCTCCTCCACCGCAAAAAAAGGATTATTCGTCCCCTGCGATACTACTAATGGCTGGTAGGAAAGTTATGACCAGCCAAATTACATTGTGTTTTTTCACTAACACATGGAAGTAGCTATGTACCTTGGCTGTACCAGTTTCTTGTCTCTGACTATCATTCTTGGGAAGTCGCGAAAATCTGGTATCCTCTGAAGCGTTATCGAGAATGAGAGCAGCTCCTTTCAGAAGTGTACTCGTTATATTACTGACTTCTGAGATTTTTTCTGCCGGAAATTTACCCAAAAGTTGAACAGCCTTTTCAATCACGTGGAGAGACATATCCTGCAATGCAAATAGAAAGTTAAGCTTTCAACAGGCTAAAATCATTTTCAATGGAATGTTAAAATGTGGATGGGAGGACAGCAGTACGCGTCCCTTGCACACCTTTTGCTGTTCATTACGGGAAAATACGCATACATTTGCGTGAAACGGCGACCAACAGCGCGAAGATACATTCATTAGCGCGAGAAAGCAAACATTTGCGCATAAATCAGATTCAATAACGATTTATGCATTTTAATCAACATTCAATAACATTTTTGGGCATTCATTTGCGTCATTCGACATACAAAAGAGAAAAATATACTTTCATTAACGACAACATTTGAGTCATTAACATTATCTTGAAAATCATTGTGGACAATAGACAAACATTCAAGTGCAAACGCTATTCATTAACATTTTTATGACACTGTTTGCAATTCAATAGCATTCCTGGACAGCTTCAGAAATGATAAGACGCTTGTACAATCAATTTAGCCTTCTTTACATTTAACATACAGCGGCCAACGAGGACGAAACTTGACTATGACCATGAAAATATCACCTATCAAATGTTTTCCCCGGCAGCTGCTGGAGTAATGAATACTGTTTCGATGTTTGGGTGACTTTCTGGCACGGGCGAGGAAAAAATGGATCCCGATAAGTCGGTGGTCTTTGCATATGACGGGGTGCCAGCTCACCTAGATTTAGCCATTCCCGCCCCATAGGTACACAGCTTATGTGTCCCCCCTCGACGTCGTTGAAAAGGATTTAAGTTGTCTGAAAGCGACACTAAGGCAGACATCTCGAATCCGGAAATTTAAAGATGTATAACAGGAATGAGAGCAAAGCCCTAGCAATCCCACTAGCCGAGTTCGGAAACAACAACTGCAGTGCTTGAAGCTCTGCGCAGAAACATAGCATTGTGACCGCAGCTAAATGTGCTAAGGGGTACCTTTTTCACGCAAAACTACCTCCCACAATGTTTAAATAGCGAGGTTTTTGAGGGATATACATTTAACGGACTGAAATTCAGGAAAAATTTGTTTGAATTTCTATTGTTTAATTGAAAATCGATTTTTGTATATTAAATGTAAAGAACACTCAATTGATTGTACAAGCGCATTAATGTTTGTTCTATCCATTCTAAAGCTGTCCAGGAATGCTACTGAATTGCAAACAGTGTCATAAATGTTAATGAATAGTGTTTGCACTTTAATGTATATCAGTTGTCCCTATTCACTTTCAAGATGGTATTAATGACTTTGATGTTGGCGTTAATGAAAGTATATTTTTCTATTTTGAATGCCCAATGACGCATATGAATGCCCAAAAGTGTTATTGAATGTAGATTAAAATTCAAAAATCGTAACTGAATCTGATTTATGCGCATATGTTCGTATTCTCGCGCTAATGAATGTATGTTCAAACTATTGGTCACCGTTTCACGCCAACGATTGCGTCTTTTCTCGTAATGAACAGCAAAAGGTGTACATCTTATATTAGGGACTTTAAGATCTAACGACGCGCCGGCAACGAGAACGTCGCTTAAGGTCTTTTCTCGTAATGAACAGCAAAAGGTGTACATCTTATATTATGGACTTTAAGATCTAACGACGAAGAACGTCGCTTAAAAAGTTAATTTGCGTGCTTTCAGTCTTTATCGCAATCATTCCTAACCACTTAATATGTCAAATGTAGGCGAACCCTCCTGGAATGGAATTCCTAGGGACCATATCCAAGTTGGGAAAGAGAAATGAAATTTCGTCGTTGCTTGTTTACGTACTCTATAAAAGACGAAATTAGGCATTTTCACGTCGTAGTCGTGCAAAAACAGGCAAAGAATTGTAGAAAAAAGCGTGATACACGTGCAAAGTTGTTGTTTTGCTTATAAAACCTATTGTTTTTTTGACGTTCTCTTTGCCGTCCGCGTCGTTGGATCTTACAGTCCCTATTAACACTGCGCACCGACCTCTGCATACAATGGCGCCACTGCTTGCAGCTAGGATTCTAGTAATGAGACTACTGTATATATATGATTTAATGGACGTTGTTTTGGGCATTTAGAATTGCGCACTGGAAGGCTATTGTTTGGTGATCACTCAAGCAAATCAATGCGGTGAGTTCCGTATGCCCAAATGTCCAATTTCAAATTGATAATGACCAATTGCCACGACAACCTATATTGATTTAGGTATATGTGTGCAGAGGTATTAGTATACCAAGCAACTGAGAAAACGTCCGTATTCGTTTGTAGTAGTAAACAGTGTGGGTTCTGTACGTCCCGTACCAGTTCAAGTAGTAACAACACATCTTTCTCATAACTAAACACGGCAATATTGTTTATTGCCTTTGGCAGCTACATGTAAAACTGAAGCTATTTTGTTTGAGGTTGATATCTTCTGATGAACAGAGCAGTAACTTAAGGGGTAATTCGCCTCTAAAACTGAGACCTCAGGAAAATTTTTAAAGCATGACGTATCTTTACCTGTATTTCGTTTGTGGTTTCGTCTTTCACAGAATTAACCAAAACAATACAGTCTGTCAAATTACGTAGGCTATATTTCTCGGTCTTCATTGAATAGCGAATCAAAGCACTCTTAATCTTGAAACGGAAAAAGGAAAAGAAATGGTATGTTTCAGTACTCTAGTTACAACCATAACAAGATAACTATTAAGAGATGTATCGTTAATTTCCTATAATGCGAATAGCCAATCTTGTCTAGATGGCCCGATTATAGCATTTGCACCGTGATCCATGATATCTAAAATAAGGTTTTCCTCATGTCAATTCAATAGAATTAAATAGAAATTCAGTTTTAGGAATTGGTCACCAAACTGCTTAAGGAAGCAGAATTAATTCCTAAGACAGTAAGCAAAAAATACAAAGAGAAGGGATGGAGACGAGGACTCCTAAAGGATTTGCAATTAGGGTTTTTTGAAGACGGTTTAGCCCGTAACCTTTTTTAAAAAGGCTTAAAAGCTTTCTCTCCGTTAATTTCAAAATTAAATTATCACAATATGGAGGCAGATTGTCGTGTTGTATCATTAGAGCTTTGTTATTTCAGCCGGGGAGAACGTCAATTATAACGTTAAGCTCATAAAGAGTAATCGGAAAAACTACGACAATGGTACTCAAGGCGCGAAACAAAGACCCTATTATATATGGTATAAACAAAGAAGCAGTTCAGCTGAACCACGCCGTAAGAAAATAACGCTTTTGAGCTTTATCTTAAGTTAGGAAACCAAGGAATATCATTTAACCTTAGTTTTGGATAATTTATCGAGTCCCCAGTCCTCTATAGCTATTTTGGCAATTAAAAACGTCTCGCTGTAAGAATCTTTGTTTATAAGATCTCCTAATGTCCAAGGTTTACTGGAAATGTCTTCTCTTGTTGGAATGATAACCTGAAAAATAGCAAGTGCCCATTACATTTTTTGTTCATAAATAATCAATGTTTTTGGGAACGGCTGTATCAAATAATCGAAAGAACGTTGCTCCTTGCACCAACACACGTTATGTTGAGGAAGATTTTTGAAAGAATACACTGGGCATCATTTATTGTATTCGATTTTCCGTGTCTAATTAACCAATCTCCTCATAGCCTGTGAACAGGCTCCCTGTTTGGGAAAAAAAATAGCAAGGAAAGGGAAGGGAAAGGGGGGGAGGGGGGAGAGAGCCTGTAGACAAACATTTGGGGCCGCTATTATCTTGCCGAACATCTGTCAGTAAGATCATTATCTGTCAATCAGTTTCGCGCGTGAGTAACTCCTGGTAAAATTAACGGGAAATGAACCGTGTTTGGCTCCGTCTCAAAACAAAGTGAAATGGACCGCGAGCCTAATTGTCAATTTTGCAAAAAATCGTTGATCGCCCGTAAGAGCCGGAATTAATACGTTGCCGGTCTTTGGCGTTTCAAGAAATGAGACCTTGCTAGTTGACAGTGGCCAAGACAGCGTTGTACTAGCGCAAGCATTTGAATCCTCAAGATTTCCCTCTTGAGCAAGGAGAAAGCTTTTCTTTTTTCCGATTTAAGCTGCTTAACTTGTGCGCGACGGGCCGTTCGTCTTGCTAGTTCAGTTTCTAATTTAACAAGCCCCTGCAGAGCGAACTTGGAATGCGAAAGGTGCCGATACTATCATGACTTCTTCAGAACGTGGACCTCCAAAGACAAGTACAAAGAGATAGTAGCGCTTCGGTCGCCGACACCTTTGGGTAATTATCTCGTATTTATAGCAATAAAAGGGGGCGGTAGGTCTACACAACGTTTACCTCACGCCAAAATGCTGCTTGTTCCCATAACTTTTGTCCTCTGCTGGGTAAATTATGCTCTGGAAGGTTCTACATTTTCACTGAGCAAACGTGATTTTAGCCCGGAGGTTGTTTCACACTGACAGGTCATGGCATATACATATCAATTTACTATGGTTTTTGTCTCTGTTCGGCAGGATTTGCCCCCTGATGCAAGAGCATTTTCTTTGACCTCTTTTTAAGCGTAAAGCTTTTTAGTGCGGCTGAATAAGGGTCTTAATTTCTCCAAAGTTCCTTCTGGATCTGAACAACTAAGCGGTTTTCTTTAGTCCGTGAATATAATGTTTTTCTGAAATGTTGTATCACGCTGGGTCTAGCTCGTTAGTTTTCTTTGTAGAATGTTTAAAAATTATCATGGATAGTAATTTACAGATCCAAAGTTATAAGATTCAAGTGCAGCTTAAACTGAAGCTACATCAACTATGGAGAATTGCATTGTGACTCGGTAAACTCCAGCCTAGTGTTTTTCTAAAGATAGTTTGAGTCTTTTGACTGGAGCGCGTAGTTCCTCCCTTGGTAATAGCTTTTGAACAAGCGTAACAGTCTTTGGAGTGTTTTGTTATTTCCACTTTGTGATCAAAACGCTTGCTACATGCCGACCGAAAAGCCGATTTCAATCAGACCTGTCAACAGTCAGTGTTCTCGCCAATAACAACTTGCATCAGAATCTGATGCACAGCGGGTGCCGTTGAACGGCGGTCCCAAATGTTTGTCTACAGGCCTTTTCGCTTTTTCCTCTCCCTAGTTCCCCGCTCGACCAAAGGCCTGTTCACAGGCTAATCTCCTCATGTCACTTTGATGCATTTCTTTCAGTTAAAAGCAATCCCTGAACCGCAAAGCTGAAAGTAAAAAACGATCAATTTTGTCAGGGGGTAGCTAGTTTTCCAAATCATCCCTGCCCTCTTCTCTCAAATGGTTTCCACGCTAGTGATTTCAGTTTTTTTTATTATTAGGGTGTTGTTTCAATGTCTTTTGGTCACAAGACGGAGCTCTTCAGGAAGCTCTCACACGCGTGGCAAGATCGGGGAAAACATCGCATCGTGTTTCGAAAAATTATCTGAAGTTAAAGCCAGCGAGTTACATAGCAAACTGCACCGTCTTTCAGCTATCCCTATTTTCGTTTTGTCCTTTTTGTATGGTTTTTCTGTTCTTGTTTTTATCAATCGTCGACATTTTTAAAAAGGGCACGAAGAGCGTACTTGCCTAGAGGTGTCCATGCCCATGCTTATCTATATTATAAACTAGTGAAGTATACCTTTACAAACACGTAACTGTGGAGTGATTGAAGTGCTGAAAAATGGGCTTCCACATTCAACCGAAATGTGTAATCGTGCAAATGGTCACCAGCAGGAAGACGGATAGTGTCATCTGGAGTTCGCAAGTCTATAACCAAAGGACCCCTACTTGAATTAAACTTGACGGTGTAATTAGCTACTGCTACGTTTTCGTATCCACCACTACAATTAAGCGAAAATTTCTCCAAGAGAGCCATTCCTTTTGTCGGTGTTATATTACATTGCAATGAACGCACAGGCACTGTTTCAATAAATCCAAAGTCATATGTGATTATATGTATTCCTCGGGAACGACGTCTTATAAGGCACCTGACATAATGTAATCCGGATTGTCCAAGAGGAACACTAAAATTGTTTTCTTGCTCGCTCATGAGGCTAGATAGGTAAGCTCCATCAAACATACCCAACACCTTGTCAACCCTTGCCACTTCCCATCTGTACAGTAAATCTTTTATTTCTCTGCATTCAGAGTTAATATGTGCTGTAGCAAGAAATCTGGGTTTCCTGTTAGTAACTATTACAACAGTCGGGTTCCAAGGATCCTTGTTAAGACTTACATTCACACTCAGCACGTCGCACTGTTCGTTAACTGATGAAAAATAAGACAATAATACTCAAAAATCGATATGGACTTTGTCATTTAGGGAATTCAGAAAAAACACAATACACAACCATAAGTTTTCTTACGGATTATTTTGCTGTTTCGACTATACTGATTTGATAGAGAACTAAAATTGCTTTCTTGTGTATACCTCGTTGATCAAAAACTGTTAGTATAGAAATTACATTAAAGGGACTTTGACACGTCTCTGCGCATGTGCGGCAACTTGATTTCTGTTCCGGCGAACAGTTTTTCAAGATTGGCATCTGGTGAAGAAATCCTCTTCCATCGACCCTGAGACGCCAGAGAAAGCCATAATATCAGTATTCAAGAGCTATTTGGTCCATTTGGGAAGTTTTAAACGCCATATTTTGTATTTTTGTGCAAGTATTATCGAGAACATTCGAAGTCATTGAGGAGAACCGTACGAGGCCAAGTTCGTTGTTGTCAGTTTTCCTACAAACGGATCAAATGTGGCCTTTAATCACGGCACATTATGGTCATCTGGCTTTCATTTCTGTCTATTAAGGTTCTCCAGTCAACGATCTATCTTTGACGGATATTTTTTAAACGATAAATATGTAAAGAGAGTTAAAAAGGGTTTCCTCGATACAGCCGTGGACTACTAATGGGTCGCAGCGGCGAGTGAAGCTTATCTGCGACATGACTTCCGATTTTCTGCAACAATTTAGTTTATCGAGTGTCTGGAATCAGAAGGAGAAAACCCAGGAATCTTTTGTTGCACAGGAAGTCGTGTGAGGTTTGAGGAAACAATCCTTAAAACATGAAACGTTTTAACAGGCATTCGATTTATAGCTATTTATGACTCCAATCCGTAGTTGTATAGCAGAAAGTACTGACAACAGGCCGCGCGATCTTTACTGATGTAGTTCACTGGGAATGTTCCCTGTATCTTTTCTGTATGAGCGTAGATTTTTAAGAATTGAACTTTTAAAAATAAAATGTTCCCTGAATGTTCCGTTTAACATCTGGTCTCTTTATCTGTTGTATCGATAACGTTTGTTTTGCGGAACACCCGACGCAACGACTCGGAAGGTATTTTTTTATTTGCTGATAATCAGTTGAAATTTATGCCATTGTGATGGGCTCCTGTTTATGCCTTTTTTTTTGCTTTGTTCTTTTAGAATAATCTTTATACTTATACGTTATGTGGCTACTATTCCAGTGAAAGCGTTTTATGATGAAGCACTAAGAATTGTTTCAAACACTGTTACGATTTTCAGCTGGTATCAATCGACTGAGCTACAGTGTTCACCGCGCTAGCCGACCGCATGGCATGGCTTATTTTATTATAGCGCGCACCTAGCTCGCATTTTAAGCAAAACGTTTGCCTCATCCTGTACTGTGTGTTTTGATCGCCGGTCAGGAGCTCCTTGCAGGTATTTCTAAGTTTATATAGGATAAACAGAGAGATCAGTAAGGTTTGTTTACAAATTATTTTTGTTTTCGGATGGGAGACTGGTTTTTTAGCGTGTGTACGTAAAAATACACGTAGGTAAATGTTTGTTTCAAAGCAGGACAGGGTTGTTAATCTTATTCTTATAGGCTGCAACATTTATCTGAGGAATACCAGAGAATACGTATGAATTATGGGAATATATAAAATCGAACATAAACGTTCGGAAGACTCGCGCTTCGCGAACAATGAATCTTAAATTATGTCAATTTCCTCGCGTGCATATTACTCGCTTCCGATTGGTTCAAAGACAATCAGCTACTGTCACAGCTCACACATGCGCACTATCGTGACACAGTCCCTTTAACCACGTTTTTACTGAAAGGTCACGATTAGGTTCCGTCTGAGTCAGTACCAAATTAAACTAATTGAAGCAATATTGGTTTATTGACAGAGTATGTGACCTAGGCGGCTGGATATTGGCCTGAAGTTCGTTTTAACTGACTTGACGAGTAGTCGAGGTTCATAAAAAGGCAAAAGAACGAGGCCAATTTTCACAGCCATCTTCACCGAACAAACTTTTAAGCCATTTTTTTGGCAAACAACTCTAGAAGTTCGAAACTCGAGAGCTCCTTACGAAGAGGAGGACGGCAAACTGTTTGTGTTTGACAAACGTGACACGCCCATTACGTACATGTTTTGTCTGTTCTTCACTTAACCTTGGTGTTTTATCGTCTTTTAAAGAGACATCTCTTTAAAGGAAGGTAAAGTTTGGCGGAAAATTTTTCCAAACATAATTGTTGTCACGCTTGTCACACAACGTTTGCCGTCTTCTTTCCCCTTCCGTCCTGTACGTGGTATGGTTGCGTAAGTTCAAAGTTAATTCCTCATTCCATTCCGTGCGATGGATTAGCAAGGACCTTGTTAGTCTGGAGGGTGGATAATATATGCACGAACGTATAGGTACCTGTTCGAGACAGAACTTGAGGAAGAGTTTTTCCAATGAGAGCAGATATATTTCCCTGTTTGGTCAACGACTCCTCCAGTTGCTTTAAAATCTTAGCTTTGGAGTATTCCACGCAATAAATATTGACCTCAGCAATCATTCCAACTGACTTATCACGAATGCGGCCTGTACTCTCATCACCAAGTGGGAGACTGAAAAACAAGGGGACATAGAATAAAGCAACTAAAAGGCTGTAAACTTTTTATTCTGAGTAAACCAAATCTCATTTAACAGACATTTATCTACACCAATGAAAAATGATCACGGAAGAAATGCGGGCAGACACCCGGAAAAACAAGAACAGTGGCCAGTTTGACAGCTATAAGAAGTTTAGTTCATATATCTATTTACTTTAAAAAACTTTCAAATCGGTTGTCTAACTGTTTGAAAACAAGTGTAAAATCTCTTCTTTCCATAAAGAGAATGCATGTCTTGACGTAAAGAATGTTAATGAATTGCTCAGTATTCATGTATATTGAATCGACTAAATCCTTGCACCCTCTAACATTTTTATAAATGTAAATCACCGTCCTGGCTGGAACAGGTGAAGTTAACTATGTTGTTGTCTGTTTTCCTTTCTCAGTTGTCAGCTCAATAGCAGTAAAAAAAGAAATTTATCTGGCTGTCAATAATAACTTTAAATCCACCCAGTTTGTCACTGAAAAAGTAGCAATGGACCAAGAAATTATTATTCATAAACCTTCAGTATCAACAATGGTTTCCAACCTGAAGCGATCAAGTTCAACGGAGATGAATCCAGCCACATTTTGAAGATACTTTTCAACCTGCAAATTGATGCAATTTTTAATTTAAAAAAAACCAACAGGGCCAGTTTCCCAGAAAGATGGTCAAGTTTTAACCTAGGATTAAGCGAAATTTTAGGCACGGTTTTCTTGCTAAGAGCATGTAACTGAAGCTTACAAAATACCGTTGAGCCTTTACTCTGAGACACAGTATTTTTCCAAAATAGTGCGCACTATACATACCTCCATGACTAGTACATGTTAGTTTGAATTTATTGCATTTGAATGTGAAACATTGATAATACTCACACTGCAATGTACTGGTCATAGATATATGTCTTGTCCGCGTTAATTTGGAAAAATTAGCATAACGTCAAAACAGCGAATGTTGTAGCGCGGATTTTTTATCGGTTCGTAGGATATGTGAAAAGATTTTAAAAAAATTCGTCCGAGTCGTTTCAGAGATATACAAAAAAGCGCTAAAAGTCCAAATTTTGAATGAAGTTGCACTTAGACAGTTGGTGAGAAAACGGGTCAGAAAAAAAAGAACGAAAATAGACCAAAATTTCCTAGCATCGAAATATGATATTAAGCAGCATTCTGACGCTACTTAAGAATATTTTGAGTCATTTATAGTGTTTTTATTAAATAATCTATTTAATCTATTTATCTACGGCTATTGAAAATTTAAGGTTTGCAATGTATTTTCGTTTTAGTCGAATTCAAACATACAGAACTTTTTACTTCTTACGAAGGTTATTTGCTAAACACGAAACTTTAAGTTCCTAGAGTTGGATTTTCATTAGCTGGTCTAGATCGTACAAAATCAGGTGTTTATCAGTTTCAAAGTTTTTTGTTTATTGTTGTCATATTTGGATTTTCCTAAAATCTAAATTTTGACAAATTTCAATCTATAGTCAATCATTGGTAAAAATTTTATAGCGATCAGACAAGGACAAAATCACTTTTAAAGCGATTGAAAAATATCGGTATTGCCTCTAAAAAACTATAACGAAACACCTTAAAGCATAAAATTATATTTCGGGACTGATACACCACGCTGCCACTCGGGAAACGTCCCCTACTCTTTTCCAACAGTGTACAATATGGGTTCGTTTACGTCCCCTTGGAGATTGAGTTGAGATAAATCCAGCCACATTTTGAAGATACTGTTCATCCTGCAAATTGATGCAATACTTTAAATGAAGGGGAACAATAATATTTTTCTCAATTGATTCCTTCCACGCCCTACAACAATTTTTCAGCCTAAAGTACACTTTATCAAGTAAGCCCTAATATCAATATCAAGCGTATACCTGGTTCAGAAGCTCAATTTCCATGTTCTTTGTGTCGACGTCATCACGATCCATATACTTCAGAGAAAATTTGGTGCCCAGGACTTCAAGCCAAACAGTGAAATAGTAATCTAGGAAAAAGACATCAAATTCATGGAAAAGGAGTTTATTTGCCTACAAATAAAAATGTTTATGTCACCTAGTCACGCAATGATTTATGTTATTTTGCTAAGAGGGGCACTTAATCCTAGTCACGCATTCACCTTTAACATAGGTAATCGGCAGGGAAGAGCTGTGAGCAGGGTCCAATTTGACACACAGTAGTCAAGTATTGATCACACGATTATCACGAGATCAATCGGAAAATTACTAGCCGGGAAATCACTAGCTGGTAAATTACTTGCCGGAATATTACTTGCTGTAAAACTACCAGTCACGAGCTCTTTCGGAAAAGTACTTAGCCTCGACTTCATTTAAGGTTAGGGTGTAAGACAAACTGTGTTCTCCGAAGTCTTGCTCTTGGTCTCCTGATGTAACAAGCTTTGCGAATTTAACACTCCTCCTCCCTTCCTCCGCCTCTTTCTTAATAGTAGTTTATTTACTCTGGCTGCCTTTTTTCTCCGCCTTCACCTTTGCCAGAGCGTAAAAAATCAAATAATCATAGCTATTTAAATGTGTTTGAAGATGTTATATTTAATCAATAAATCGGCCATCTTGCGTGGCCAAAATTATACCCAAACACATCGTTGTTCCTTATTTCTTTAAGCGCTCTTGCAAACATAGCTCGACTGATGACCCCTGAATTTAGCCAAAGATTCTCTTAATAATAAGGGTATAAAAGACAAGCGGGCAAGGAGGTATAAATATTCCTTAGACCATGACCGAAAAATCATTAGGCCGGGCATTTTTTTCTGTTTAAACACCAATTTGGCTTGAGGATAAATTATTCTACTGAGCAAGCAATTCTTGAACTCACTGACAACCTTAAAATAAAAATTGACAGCAATGAAGCTACATGCAGTATTTTTCTTGACCTATCTAGAGCCTTGATACTGTCAACCATCAGATCCTACTACAGAAATTATACAGATACGGGGTCCGTGGTGTCCCTCTCCAGTGGTTTAAAAGCTATCTTGAAAGCAGAAGACAGTATCTTGAAGTTGAAAATGTTAAATCAAACCCACTTTCTATCCAAGGTGGTGTACCACAAGGTTCTACCCTTGGCCCACTTCGTTTTTTGATATATATATATGACATGCCCAATTGTTTAGAAAAGTCAAATATTAGAACATTTGCTGATGACACCACTCTATTCTACTCTTCCAATTTTCTACAGGACCTTGCAAAAACTATAAATGAGGAATTCAACCATCTTTTTAGCTATACACTGCTCAGCTAATAACCTTTACTCACTTATCTACCCCTACCTTCATTATGGAATTATGAGTTGGGGAAACACATACCTATTAGATTAACTAGAGTTCAAACAAAACAAAATAAATGTATACGCTGCATATTTTTTAGCCATAGTAGAGAAAGTAGTGCACCCTACCTCAAATTTCGAGATTCACTCACACAAAACCAGATATGCCTTACATCTTAACTTTCATGCACCACGTTTAAGGTCAAATTACGCAAACACACAATTAAGTTTGCCATAACCAAAACTTGGGAAGAGATTCCTACTAAAATACTTAGCTACCATAAGTTCAAAAAAGAATACAAGCGAATTCTACTTAACTTTCAAAGGTAACAATGTAATATGACTGTTTCACATAAAATGACGACTGACATAATCGTCCATAGTTGCCATGGCACCATTAGCGCACATTTTTTATGTATTTCCACTCATAATATAGCGGTGGTTAGCTCGAGAGCTAAGCTCCTCTGACCACCGTACACTTCTATCCAAGCCATTAATTTCTTTTTTCCTTCTTCTTCTTCTTTTTCTTTTTCTTTATTCGTGTATTCCTACCTTACTATATATACAGTGTAATGTAAATATTTCGTAAAAGTGTGAATAAAAATGAATTGAACTGAATTTGAAAACAGTATATTTTGATAGACATTGCGAATAAAATGCACTGCTTTAAAGTGACGATCGTGGAGTCGTACGAAGCTGCAAACAGAAGACATTTGAGGTTTTCTGACAGACATTGCCGAATTCTTATAACCCCGCTCGCTGGTTCACACAAATCAAGAGGAATGTAAAAACACGATTTAATCCAATCCAACAGTCTACTGCGATGTACAATTCTCACACATTCAACGGTTGAAACACAACGATCAACCATCAACGTAACTAAACGATCAACTAAAACATTCTAAGTATACAGTGGTTTTCCTACTATCCTTGCGTAAGGATTCATCACATGTACAGTAAAAGTTCCCATTGTAATGTATCTAAATTAAGTGACTATTACAAAATCGCACGTTCTTTCACCTTATTTAGCCTAAGAAAATGCATGCAGTTACATCATTTTATATCGTAAAAATACTCGGACTTTGTCTACTTTATTGTGAAATCAAATGTCAAGAAATCTAACTTCTTTGCGCTACAAACGTCAATTTCTAATTAATATTTAGTCACAAAATAATCAAGTTAAGCATCACCTATTTCTTACCCGACAACTGTTGTTTTTAATTAGTTAGTGGAGTAAGTATATATGTAGCAGCGGGTTTAACAACTTAGCGATTAGCAAATTAACGCAGTGCAAAATTAAATAGGTATTAAGAGGCGATGTTTCTTACTTGGTTCACAGCCGTAAATTTCAAATCGCAAAGCAATATTCTTATGCCAATCCGTTGGGTGTAAATAGACTTCTGCTGTCTTCAGCGGAAACGGAACTGAATTGAACACGATACTATCGCCATCAGTATTACCCTTAAATTTCTGCAAACAAGAAATTCAATAATTAATCAACGGATAGTTAACTTACAAACACATCATTCATAATCAACTATCTAAATGCGTCACCATGCAAGTAATCCAGGCAAGTTATGTCTTTTTGTGGTAGCCTTTGCAGTAAAGATATCACTTTACCTTCTTTACAATCTCAAGCCGAATCAGTCCTTAAAAATTTTTCACAACCGTAAATGTCATATCGTATTAAGAAAACTGTGCTCACGACAACCTCTAGCTGAATCTATTTCCCAACTATACTAATATTAATACCGCATTCTCCATCCAGAATCCGTGCTTTCTACAGCTACTCGTGAAAAAGATCGAATTATAATAGAAGTATTTTGCATTCAGTGAAATCCACAAAAATTGCGCAAACAGCATTTACTATTGCAGGCAAGCCGTAGATAATTGTCTTACCTTTCTAAGAGTCGTACCATTAACAACGTCCTTGAAACTGATCAATTCACTTTGATTTTTGTCAGCTAACAGTTCAAACTTTTTCACCCACTCTTTACCAAGGCCCTGTGTGGCGATTCCTGTTATAATCATTTCCTTGGGTAATTTGACCAATATGTAATTCAGTAAAGTTCGGTTCAAAGCCTCTGGATCGGCGCGGTATCCCGTTGGCGACCTCAGTCTGGCTTTCTCAGGCCCGGAATTAGCATCAAAACTATTAGTCTCGGTCTCGATCTCAGCATCAGAAATCTTACCATTTTCCATACCTAAAGGCATTTTGCATTCAAACTGGGCTAAAAATATGAAAACATATACGTAAGTGGGTTGTGAAAAAAGAAAAACAAAGAGCTACCAATCTCCGACCTGATACTATTAGGGAGCTTAAGCCGCAACCACGACGACGAGGGCAGCGAAAACGTCGAATTACAATTAGGTTTTTTAAGGCAAAAAAAATTGTACGTGCATCACACTGTTTCGGCAAAGCTCTCAATGACTTCCACTGTAGTTCTAAGGAACTGTTTACATTGAGGTGAGAGACCCCAGACAGGTGCGGTAACCCGCTCAGTTGGGGTAAAATTTACATGCAATTTTACAACCCCGCAACCCCGAGTGCACTTTCTCAAGATTATTCAATAAATGGTCTCTAAGCACATACATGGAAATGCAGTAACGTTGCCATGAAAATGAAGAAAAAAGAAAAAAGGAGAATTGATAAAAATCTAAAAAGGAATAAATTTGGCCAGAGATCTGGTCTAACGAAAGAATCTACAGTGGCTAATAAGAATTTGCATGGCTGATTAATGCCTATTTGAGAAAGTTAATGAAATGAAGTGTAAACAAAAAAAGCCGAGCAAACGACGTGTTTTGGCGGGTAATACTTTTCTTCTCTCACTCGCTGCTCTTTCTGCAACCTTCCAGTGCTGTGGCTTTCTGTTGTCACTTTTCATGATGCCATAAAGTTGTGGTTCGAATATGGCGCGAATTTGATGCGAATTCGACCACCCCACCTTGAAACATTTACATTCCAAAATTTGACCCCGGCTGAGAGGATCACCCAGTCTGGCAGACCGGGCAACCGCCCGGCGGGTCATCCCACATGTGATGTAAACGTGATCAAATTGCAATTTGAGAAATTACATGGAAAGGGGGGTTACCACAGCTACTTGGGGTTCTCCACTTCCATGTAAACAGGCCCTACGAGGTCAAACTCCTAATTTGGCTTTTTACAGAGGACGTCAGTATAAAACAAAGGAAGACTAGTCAACTCCAAGAGAATTTGCCAACTTTTAACAAATTGAACAAGGGTAAAGAAATAAATAAAGTTTGAATAACGCATATTGTTTTCAGTGACGTTTTCGCCTTCCGTCGTGGTAGTGGTTTCTTAAGAGCCAATGTCAGTTATTTTCGAGAATCGGTTGACAGTCGTGAATTTTTGAATTTCTTCATATTTTGCCCAAAAAATCTCTATAGTACACTTATTTTAAAAATCACATTAAACCTTTCAACGGCTTTTTAGTTTTTCCTGAATCGTGCAAAATTTGAAAAACGCCAAATCGGCGCTCTTTCGAGTATGAAATTAGCGAAAATTGAGCATTTTCTTCGCGCTCGTACATAAAAACGGAAAAATATCTCTAGATGAAATCAAGTCACAAAACAGAAACACATTATTACTTTATAATTCAGCAGTTAATTTTAAATAAACCGTTTAAATGTGACTGTACCGGCCGCAAGAAGAAACACGGTTTCAGCAATTTTCAAAATGGCAAATTTGACCTAACTTCACCATCGTAAAAACCTAGTTGGTACACGGAATTTCAACATAAAACAAACACTATTTTAAAGCAAATCCTTTGTAGTTTCTTGCATGAAAAAAATTTTGGCGGCATTACAAAAGTGCGTCGCTGAGACATCGAAACGTGCAGGGTAGTTTCGCACGTTGGAACGCTGAAACAAGCTAGCCGCGAGTGTAGGCACACAAAAGTTTTGTCTAACTTAGTTTCTTTTACAAGGGGCACATTACGGGAAGCTCTTAAAATCTTTTGAAAAACGCTTTTCAATTTGATGGTTATAAAAAAGAGCTAAGCAGATTAACACTACATTTGATTGCACGCAAGTAGCTGAAAAAGACAACGCTGTTAAATTCTCATTGAAAGTAAATATTGACCTCGAGTTTCTGCACCTCAAAATAAAACCGTTAGAAACGGCGTGCTAGCTGTAAATGAGATTCGAGATCTCTAAGAATTACTTACCACAGTCGTTTCAACTGCAAGTGGCCGCAGTTTACCGAAATCTCCCGTCGTTTAGCCTCGGACTAAACACTGTGATGCGTGACGGAAAGCCCGTGTGTAATTTGAGTCTGGTCACGCAACTGTACAGACAAGGATAAATCATCGCACGAGTGTACAAGAAAAAATAAAATGACAATTTAATAACACTGTTTTTTTTAGTTTTATATTTAATATTCCCAAAACATGTGGAACTAAACTTGATTTTAGGATGTACCAGCAGAATTTAACACAAATAGTGAAAGAAAACAAATAGAGTAAGCCGAGTCTGCAAAACTTTTCACACTAGTTTTCTTTTATTTGCACTTAGGCTTCTGAGCCTTTGCTTGTAATAAACTAATCTTAACCCCGCTTGGCGTATAGACTTCTTTATCGATCACCTCAGTATGAATTGAGGGATTTAGGAACACACGTAACGCCATATGCAACATGAAGGTAGAGCAGGGAATGGAAACGAGTAAAACTGTTTAAACAAAATTGGCCAACGCTCCGCAAAAGAACATTCCTGAAAAACCACAAATCGACAATGGACACATTTGATGAGCCAAAAATCGACAATGGACAATGGACACATTTGATGAGCGAAATACAAGTATTTAACATGTTTAAATTACTGAAAGTAGTATTGCTTTGCTCCTCTGCAGGAATGGCATCTTCTGGCAAGACCTCAACCTGTTGTTGACGAATTGTACACTATCTGATCCCCTGCCCCCCGAACAGAGGCTCTTAAAGGCCAGTCTACACAGTATGGGGTTAGACCAGAATGCACGTACTGCTAGCTCCCTCCTGAAGAAAAGGAATAGTCACCTGGCTCTGTCCGCCACCACCCCCCGGCACTTGTTCGCTGGCTAGAAAATAGACCAATTCACTGACAAGTTCTTTTTCATAACGTCAAAATCCGTCGCGTAAATGAAAAAAAATGCTTTAAAATGCCTAAGCCATTTTACTTACTATCTTTTAACCAAATACGTTTCGGAGAAAAGAGAGAAAAGGCTGAAAATAGCCTTTCATTTCGATTTAAAATTTCAGATGGAGAATGCCCTTTTCCTAGGTCTGCACGTGCAGTGACTTGTGTGCTAAAACTCCTTCGTGGTGGTATCTCTCGGGCAAAAACGACCGCCTAGCGGCGAGGAGCGAGCAGAGAAGTCAGTGGCCATTTTCGAAAAGAAAAAGAAGTGTAAAGGCAGCACCTTCGTGACTTAGAAAACGTATGCGTATATAATTTTCTTCAGGCCGCACAGAGTCATCAATTAATGTGCCTTTACGGACCCCTTTTAAATGAGCAGCCAGCATGGCCAGTAGGCTGTCCTGGAACTGTACAACGTGATTTGTGCTCCGCCACCCGGAACCCAAACATTTTTCATGCGCCAATTTTGTGGATCAAACAAAGTCTGCTAGCTCTAAATGTAGTGATAAAGACATGAATTGTTGTATGTGTAGGGTTGATCCTAATGGAGAACCCAATGCCAACCAACCCACCCATCTCCTCCCCCTGCCCTAAAGTTAAACAAGCTAAGTAGACTTTTCAGGACGTTAGCATAGTCACCGGAGACCTCTTGTAAAGTTCACTAAAATAATAGCAAGCACCTTCGAAGCCTGTTCACAGACCCTCTACTTGTTCATTAGAGATCGTCGATCTATTTTCTCTTTGGAGATCGTCGATTTCGCGTATGAAAATAAAAGCCGCAGGGGACTTATTGACCGTTAGAGCAAGGGGCTCCGCGTTCGCGCGCTCGCTTCGCTCGCGTGCTCGTCTATTTTCAAAACGAAAGAGGAGTGTAAAAGTTGCACCTTCGTCGCTCAGGAAACGTCTGCGTATATCATTTTCCTCAGGTAATAAAGAGTCATCAATCAATGTAGGTTGATCTAGAACGGTACCACGTGACTTGTTGCACCGCTACCCGGAACCAAACATTTACAGGTGGTGAGCAAAACCTCTTATTTTCATGCGCCAATTTTGTGGATCAAACAAAGATCACCCAACGTAAATGCAGAAAACCGTACTTTTATCATTAGCGTAGTAGGGTCGATGTTTGGTTATTGCCCTACATGTTCACGTGACTGACAAGTCAGGAGCATACCAAGGGACTCACGACATCTCTTCTAAGATCGCAATACATTCAGCATTACTGGGGCCACAGGCGCCATAAACCAAGTTGAATATGTGCGAGATGCTATACGAACATACAACAAAGACTTGAAAAGTAAAAAAATTATACCAGGAATTTCTTTTCCGGCGCGTTACGCGTCACGCACTTCCGGAATGTCATCTTTCCTCCTGTCGACAGATTGAAAACATATGCAAACTTAACTTCGATTCTGCCGTGATGCAGAATTTAGTTAGCGCTACTGTGACTCCGTCTAGCATCTAAATTCAGGTAAGTAAATAACTTTTCTGATTTTAAGGTTTCAATGCGATTAAAACTATTGCAAACGAGTATTTCGACAATATTCCTCTCTACTAACTGTGATTTGAACTGCGTATTCGTCTCTTCGTTACCGTTTATCGCAAAAATCAGTTGAAAGGAATCATTTTAAACGGAACAGAAACGCCAAAGTATAATCTGAAACCGTTACAACTCTGACTAGGGTTTAAATGTCGAAGTAACTTACGTTTGCGAAGGATTAATATTCCAAGCGTCCAGACTTGCTTATTGCACGCGCTTTCCTGGTGTCAAAATACCCTTCAGGTTTTGGTCTCTCGACGGTGCGCATTTGGAATGCCGCCAGAATTATTTTAACACGAACAACAGCAAAGGATATGCTTCAATACAGTTCTTGTTTCATATTGAAATTCCGTGTACCAACTAGGTTTTTACGATGGTGAAGTTAGGTCAAATTTGCCATTTTTGAAAAGTGCTGAAACTGTGTTTCTTCTTGCGGCCGGTACAGTCACATTTAAACGGTTTATTTAAAGTTAACTGCTGAATTATAAAGTAATAATATGTGTCTGTTTTGTGACTTGATTTCATCTAGAGATATTTTTCCGTTTTTATGTACGAGCGCGAAGAAAATGCTCAATTTTCGCTAATTTCATACTCGAAAGAGCGCCGATTTAGAGTTTTTCAAACTTTGCCTGATTCCTGAAAAAATAAAAAGCTGTTACAAGTTTTAACGTGATTTTTGAAATTAGTGTATTATAGAGATTATTTGGGCAAAATATGAAGAAACTCAAAAATTCATGACTGTCAACCGATTCTCGAAAATTACAGACATTGGCTCTTAAGTTCCCTGAAAATCCCTTCCAAAACGATGAAAGAAATACGCAGACGCGCACAGGTAAGTCAGTATTAGGATGGGTATTAAAGTCGAAACGTAGCGTTTTTTCTGCGCAGTTTCACATTTTCTTAAGCTTGCAGTCTAAACCTCGACACGATTTTTTTCGGTCGCTATTGATCTTCTGATCTTCAGACTCTTAAGCTTACAGAATTTTTAGAGCACTTTACAATAAGTCTATTACTATGACGTTTTTTTCGGTGGCCCACAGGGGACATGCTGCAAATTAAATAAAGTTGCTGCAAATAAAAAAATAGTTGCTGCAAATTAAAGCAGTTGCAGGTCGAGAGTATGCGCACACACTGATGGGAAGAGGGCGACTCAACATAGTTGTAAGGAAGTTAGAGACAGACCTGCACGGACTCGCAACGTGGTTTTTGTGGTTG